GGTTTTGTAAACATTGCCATACGTTTTAAACTGGGGCTACAGATGAAACAGGAGCCTCGCTGCCATGTGTTACAACCAGCAGAAGGGGACTGGGGACAGGATATTATCCACTTGCCACTCAGCCACCCTCCACTTGGCAGCCAGACCCATCTTTGGTACCACCATCCACTCAAAATCCTTCTGTGGTTTCCCACTTTCTAAGCATAAAGAACAAAAACCTTAACAGGGCCCATAAGGCCCTGCAGTCTGGGCCTCACCTACACCTGGCCTCCTCCTCCAGCTGCATCTCTGATCACTTTATCAGCAGCCCTCCTCAGGGCCTTTGCACGTGCTCTTCTAGACCATTCCCCCTCCCTCATCTCCCTATTCCCAGGTTAACACCTGCTCATCCATCAGATCTGAGCCCAGCCTAGACTTGCATTCCAAGTTCCTCAGGCCACAGGACATCCCCAGGTATGTGGGAGGTTTAGCTCAAGGTGGAATTATACACTGTATATTGCTGGGATTAATTTCAGCCTGTACCCTGTCACCACCCCCGCCACACACACACACCTTGCAACTGTAACCCTCATGACTTCCGGGACTGGTCTGAGTTTGCTCAGAGGTGCTCAGTAATGAAGTCTACTTTTGGGAGTAGCTCTTGAGCAAATATGGGGACCTTGCTTTGTATAAAACCGTATTGTCCTTCATCAAAAAAAAAAACAAAAAAAAACGCTGAAGTCACTTCTTAGTTTTGGGGGTAAGTGTTCATTCATTCATCCTTTCACTTACTCTGCCAGGCACTGTTCTAGGAGCCATCAGGGAATGTGCCACAAAAGCCACTGCCCTCACGGAGCTTTCTCTAGTGGGACCACAGACAAATAAACCTGTAACCCATTGTCAGGTGGTAGCAAATTTGATAAAGAAAAGTCACGCAGGGTCTGGTGGGAGCAGGCAGGGGTGGCACCTGCTGTCTTAGACCTGGATGAATAAGGAGGGAACTCTGCTGGGGAGGTGGGGAAGCACAGATGTCCTGAGTGGCATCCACTCCCACCCTGAGCCTCCTTGTCGGGGAGGCAGGCACAGGGGCAACCAGCCGTTATACCTGAGAGGAGGTGAGGCAGAGAAAGCCTGGTGGGAAGTTGGGGGTGGCTTCGGAGGTGGCTTCAGAGTTGGCAGGCTGGACAAATCCAGGAAGCCTCATGGCAGCTCCTGAGACCCTTTACTAAAGTGAAGAAGAACTTGGGTTTGAAGTCACACATGCCTGTGGAGGGTATGTCCTACCTGGTCCTGCCATTTGCCAGCTGTGTGGCCCTCACCTCTGTGAGCCTCAGTTTTCTTGTCTGTAAGATGGGGACAGTGTTAGTCTCTTCCTTGTAAGGTTGTTGTGAGGCTGAAATGGGATCAGGATGCTTTTGAAGAAGGGCACCATTTGGACATGAGGACCCACATCAAGAAAAAAACAGCATGAGGTGAGGCCCTAGATGAGAAACCCAGCATGGGCTGGAAGCAGCAGATGGTTCAGTTTGGGGCAAGGCTGGCTGGAAGAAGGGAAGTGGAAGAAAACAAAGTGAAAAGTAGGGTTGTTACTGAACCAAGCTCAGCTCCGCTCACCCACACGTAGTAAAGCCAATCTACTGACACCGGGTTGTGGTGAAGTAAAGCTCAGCGTTTATTGTAAGGCTCCAGACAAGGAGTCTGGGGAAGTCAATGCTCAGAAAAAGCCAAACTCCCCGTTGGGTTTCAGGGAAACTTTTTTTTTTTTTTGATATATAGTTGATTTACGATGTTGTTAGTTTCTGGTGTATAGCAAAGTGATTCAGTTATACATATATATATGTATATATATATACATATATATATACATATTCTTTTTTATATTCTTTTCCATTATGGTTTATTACAGGATATTGAATATAGTTCCCTGTTATAGTAGTACCTTGTTGTTTATCTCTTTTATATATAGTAGTTTGTATCTGCTAATCCCAAACACCTAATTTATCCCTCTCCCATGCCCATTCCCCTTTGGTAACCTTAAGTTTGCTTTCTACGTCTGTGAGTCTGTTTCTGTGTCGTAAATAAGTTCATTTTAATCATATTTTAGATTCCATGTATAAGTGATACCACATGGTATTTGGCTTTCTCTGTCTGACTTATTTCACTTAATATGATAATCTCTAGGCTATCCATGTTGCTGCAAATGGCATTATTTCATTTTTTATGGCTGAGTAGTGTTCCGTTGTGTAGATATATCACATCTTCTTTATCCATTCATCTGTTGATGGATGTCTAGGTTGCTTCCATGTCTTGGCTATTGTAAATAATGCTGCTATGAACATTGGGGTGCATGTGTCTTTTTTAATTATAGTTTTCTCCAGATATATGCCCATGAATGAGTTTGCTGGATCATATGGCTACTCTGTTTTTAGGTGTTTTTGGTTTTTTTTTTTTGGCCACACCATGCAGCATGTGGGATCTTAGTTCCCTGACCAGGGATCAAACCCACACCTCCTACAGTGGGAGTGTATAGTCTTAACCACTGGCCCACCGGAGAGTCCTATTTTTAGTTTTTTAAGGAACCTCCATGCTCTTTTCCGTAGTGGCTGCATCAATTTACGGAGAAGGATTTTTGAAGGCAAGATGAGGAAGGGGAGTCACAGGGTGTGTTATCAGCTCGAGCACAGTTCTCTGATTGGTTGATGGTGAGGTAATGGGGTGTCACAGGTGTTAACGTTACCAATCCTCAGGCTCCAGTGGGTCTGGGGGGCTACATTCTCATGGTCATCAAGTAGTTGACTTCTTCCATTTGGTGGGGGTTTTAGCATCTGTAAAACAACTCAGGAACTGTGCATCAGATACTGTTATCCAGGTACTTTAGAGAGGAACTAAAGATTCTGTGACTGCCATATGGCTGATTTACTGTTTAAATTATTACCAGTTCTCCAGGCACAACTGCTACATTTGTCACTACACAGTCCTTTCAATCACTAATTCTTGAGCCAGGCTTTTGTGACTCGGGGGAGGCCTGGGAGACTACCACTTTTCCGTAAACGAGAGGCAGGCAGAGGACATGGGGGAAGGTGTCTATCGCAGGAAAGCCCCACGGGGTCCTGCTCGGTTCAGGGTGTTAACCTGTGGACAGATGGAGCTAGTGAGATTCTAATTCGGAGGTTTTCAAATTGTGTTTGAAATCTTTTGGGCCACCTCAATGTATAAACTAGACCAAAGAGGAGCAGTGTAGCATCATAGTTAAGATGGCTGCCCTTGGGCTAAGACCCGGGTACAAGTTTAAATCCCGCATCACTTATCCAGTGACCTTGACATCCATTTCTCAGGGCCTCTTTCTCCATCTGTAAAACAGAGATAATAGCACCTACCTGGTAGGATTATTGGGAGGAAATGAGATGATGCATGGAAAGGGGTGGCATTTACTAACATTGACCAAGTATTGACTGGTACGATTTTTTTAATTAAAAAAATTTTTAATGGTGATGAAATAGACACAACATAAAATTTGCCATCTTAGCCATTTTGAAGTGTGCAATTCAGAAGTGTTAGGTATAATCACAGTGTTTTGCAGTGGATCTCCAGACCATTTCAACTTGCAAATCTGAAACTCTGTACCCACTAAACAACAACTCCCCATTCCCCCTCCCCCAGCCCCTGGCAGCCCGCACTTTACTTTCTGTCTCTACGATGTTGCTTACTCTGAGTACCTCATATAAGTGGAGTCATACAGTATTTGTCTTTCTGGGACTGGTTGATTTCACTTAGCATAATGTCCTCAAGGTTCAGCCATGTTGCAGTGTGTCAGAATTTCTTTCCTTTTCTAAGGCTGAATAATGTTCCATTGTATGTATATAACATTTTGTTTATCCAGTCATCCATGGATGGACACTTGGGTTGCCTCCACCTTTTAGCTATTATGAATAATGCCGCTATGAATATGGGTATACAAATATCTTTTTGAGACCCTGCTTTCAGTGCTTTTGGGTGTGTAGCCAGAAGTGGCATTGCTGGGGCATTCACTGTTGAAATTTGGAGGTGGGCATGGATGGCTCCCCACTGTCTCTCTTCTTGCCCATCAGAGTAAGAGAGGTCCCTGGGGCCCTGTGGAGCAGTTTGAAAACCAGTAGGTCAAATGAACTATTAGAGATTTTGCCATTTCTCCCCCTTCCTTCCCAGGAAGACTTCCCTCTTGAATTGTTTTTTAATTATCCCTAGTGGAAACCACCCTTCATTCAGCAAATGTTTATGAGTGCCTGCTATGCTTCCACTGGGCAGAGGGAGAGATAAACAGTAAGCAATAAACATAAACAAGGAAAGGATATAGTGTGTCAGACAGTGATGCGTGCTCTGGACCAAGCAGAGGAGCCAGTTAAAAGCGATTGGGAGGAGAGGCTGGGGGCAGCATGGCTTCCCTGAGCTGTGAGATTTGAGCAAAGACTGGAAGGAGATAAGGGAGTCGGTCATGTGGTTGTCGGGGGAAGAGCACTTCCGGCAGAGGGAACAGCCAGTGCAAAGGCCTTGAGGTGGGAGCATGCATGGTGGGATCCAGGAGCAGCAAGGAGGATGGTGTGTCTGGAGCAGAATGAGTGGAGGGGAGGGGAGGAGAAGGGTGCGCTACATATGGCCCGGGTGCCTTGATGGTGACTGTGGGTGAGAAGGGAGTCACTGAAGGTTTGGAGCAGGGAAGGCACATGATCTGATTCTAGTTTGAGGTGGAACTTTCTGGATGCTGTGGGGTGGATAGCTAGGGGTGAGGGCAGAAAGAGGCGGGAGACTGGTGAGGAGGCTCCTGCCAGAGAGATGATGGCAGCTTGTACGAGGATGGGAGTCAGGGAGGAAGGGCGCAATGATAAATGTGGACAAAACGTCCTGCAGCCTGGGCATCCACCCCAATAGCACACTGTTACCCTCCCTGTGCCAGCACCCCGCCCTTACTCCAGGCTGCTGAAGTGAGGTTGTGATGGGAACTTGCCCTCCATGCCAACATCCCTTTTTTTTCTTTTGGTCTGTAGTGGGATCGTCCAAAACCCTCTGGGTTCTTCTATGTTGGAACTGTTGCCATGGAAACCTCCTGAGTTGCTGCAGTTACCACTGACCTCCAGTTTAACTTCCAGATAGAGGTATAGACGAATGGGTTTGTCTCCTAAAATGCTGCGAGTGGGGAGTAAATTGGGCCTGCGTAGAATCTCCACTTCTAGGACCATGTCCAGATTGTCGTACTGTGTGTGTGTGTGTGTGTGTGTGTGTGTGTGTGTGTGTGTGTGTTTTAACTTTGGACTACAATCTTCAGAGTTTCTGGCTTAAGAACAGTGCTGTAGCTGTATTTGTTATAAAGGATTTCTTCAGCCAGATGTTCTTCCTTCTCCTTGGCTCCAGAATAATTAGTCCTCAGCCTTCCTGTGACACGGTAGCTATCTCTCTGGTAATGATTATCTCACTGTACTGCAGACTCATTAAAAAATGCAGCTGTGGCCAGTTAACTCAGAAAAAGAGGAAGAGAGAGAGAAAAAGAACGTCACCCCCGACCCCCACTGGGCTCCCCTCCCCTCTGCAACACACACACACACACACACACACACACACACATCAAATTTGACCTTGGCCTTTACTGACTGCTCCAAGTTAAAAAAAAAAAAAAAAAAGCCACAGCTGACTCACGTGTAAGAAAAACAAAAGAAGTTCATTCTTGCATGAGATCTTCTAAAGACCCAGGTCCCAGAGTTTTAAGGATGATTTAAAGGATTTTCAAGGATGATACTGACCACATTTGATTTTCTCCTTGGTGCCGACTTTGGAATTTTTTCTTGTTCCAAGAAGAAATCCCACTGCATCGTTTATGGTGTCCGTCAACAAATGTGGGTTGAGCACCTCCTGTGGGTGCCTGCAGAACCCAGGTCAGATGTTTGGGAATGACCGTCTACCTCCACTACTGACAGAAATAACCCAGTCCGTGTTTTCTTTGGTGACAGGTAACGTGACTGGTGAGAGAAAAATCATGATTGTGGTGCATCAAAACGTGGTCCCACTCCAGACTAACCGTTTCCGTCCCACTTCTGGGCCTTGCAGCCTAGCCGTCGACTGGTGTCCTCCCTGGGGTCCTCACCATGTACATGGTGTTTCCCTGAGAGTTGGGGCTCTCCTGGGTCAGGTGTGGACCTTTCTCAGGGTTCCTTGGTGTCTTCACGGCACTTGGGCAGAGACAAGACCCCCAGGGAGTTGGGACTTACTCCATCCATTAGGGATGTCCTGAGCCCAGGGTGCTGCTGGACCGGCCCTGTGCACATGAGGTGGCCCCAGGCACACAGACACTGCTAGCTCTGACTAGCGGGGTCTTTTTCTCACCACAGGAACCCAGCTCACTCTCTCAGAATCAGTCCAGCTTCTCAGACGTATTTGAGAATATCAGACTGGATCCTGGTCCCTAATCAGAACAAGGGGTGGAGGCCCCCGAGGACCAGCATACACAGTTTAGGTGGCACCCCACCCACGGCTGCCACCACACTCCCTCAGCTGGAAGAGTTTGGGGCCCATCCCTTCCGCCTGGACAGTCCATGGCGTTGGAACCCTGGACTCCTCCATCCCACCGGCATGGATGGCCGAGAATTGCCCTTGTCCATCTTGTTGAGGACAAGACCTGTTGGTCAGAGGAATGGGACTTAACTGTGACAAGACCTGTGGCTTGGCTGGGCCACGTGGGGCCAGGGCTTTCTGAGACTAAGCACTCCCCTTCTAGGGACCAAGAACACAACTGTTGGGCTTCCCTGGTGGCGCAGTGGTTGAGAGTCCGCCTGCCGATGCAGGGGACACGGGTTCGTGCCCCGGTCCTGGAGGATCCCACATGCCGCAGAGCGGCTGGGCCCGTGAGCCATGGCCACTGAACCTGCGTGTCCGGAGCCTGTGCTCCGCAACGGGAGAGGCCGCGGCAGTGAGAGGCCCGTGTACCGCAAAAAAAAACCAAAAAACAAAACAAACACAACTGTTTTTAATTCTTTTAAAAAAATGTTTTTATTATAAAGGCTCTAATAAGCTCACGACAGAAAATGTTAAAAATTCAGAAAAATAGAAAGAATAAAAATCGATTACTTCTAGGCCCACAGCCTCACCACCAAGAGACAAGCATCATTAACATTTTGATGTACTGCCTTGTGATCTTTTTGCTCTGTGAAACATTTTTTGAAAACATAACTGGAGGGCTTCCCTGGTGGCACAGTGGTTAAGAATCCGCCTGCCAGTGCAGGGGACACGGGTTGGAGCCCTGGTCCGGGAGGATCCCACATGCCACGGAGCAACTAGGCCCATGTGCCACAACTACTGAGCCTGCACCCTAGAGCCCGTGAGCCACAACTACTGAGCCCGTGCGCCACAATACTGAAGCCCGTAGGCCTAGAGCCCACGCCGTGCAACAAGAGAAGCCACCGCAATGAGAAGCCCACGCACCACAACAAAGAGTAGCCCCCGCTCGCCGCAACTAGAGAAAGCCCGCGCGCAGCAATGAAGACCCAACGCAGCCAAAAATAGAAATAAAACATAACTGGAATCGTACTGCATATCCAGTGGCGTACTGTTAGCCACCTCCCTGCAAAATAGAGTCCCTTTGTTTGTAGCACTTTCCATTTCTGTGGTGGAAATACTCCCTCTTGGCCCATTTCAGGCTCCCAGCATCACTGAACACAGAGCTGGGAAGAGATGCCAGTATGAACCGGCATCAGTACACCATATTATAATTTAAAATCGTATCTATTTGTTCCGATCTTGTAATCAATACACAGTCATTATTGAAAATTCATAAAACTTGAACATATAAAGAAAAAATTAAAATCATCCAGAATTGGACAACCGCCGCCCCACCCCCCCGGCTTAGAGACAGTCACTGTCACCATCCCAATGTAAGTCCAGCAGTCCCCTCTGTACAGATGGAGATATAAACAAAATAACTGTCTTCAGAGTTGAAAAGCAATACGCATCTGTGACAGAATATTGGGGAAATCCAGAAAAGTCTCTGGTATCTCACCTTTCAGAGATCACTATAGAGGCTATTCATCTCGACATTTTTCTTCTCTGTGTCTTTTTAATATGGGTGAACTTGTGGCTTGAATCTCCTGGTTTGCAGGCATAGTATGTACATTCTCGTGCCTCATAAGAAGGTAACATCCAGGGGAAGGGTGTTATCACTACTGATTGATTAAACACCCTACGGAAGCTTGAGAGGCAGAAAATATTCTGGTTCCTTGAACATGGCAAATGGCCCATTAGGATGAAGCTCAGGTTATTTGAGGTAGTCCCTGAGCATCTTTCTGGCTCTTCAGAAGCATCTTCTCTCTTCACCTGCTGGGCTCTGGGACATCCCTGGGTAATTCCAGATGCTTGGCCCTTGTTCCAGTCTCCCTTTCTCATCTGATGCTTGATGGGAGGGTAAGAATAGGAGTGCCTTTCTGGAGGGAATAACCTAGCTCTTGCTTAAGCCTGAACACTAGTTCATTTGTTCGTGTCACAGGCAATTTCTGAGCACTCACCCTGTGGCAGGTAAGAGGTTGGGCAGCAGAATACTGATATGGAGTAGATCCGGTGCCTGCCCTCTACTGCCAGGCTAACCAAGGAGCCAGTGCAGCACCCACGGCTCAGGGTACAAGGACTTAGAACCGACAATCCACGCACAGCGCCAGGGCTGTGCCCAGTGAATGGTAGCTGACTGCAAACCTTCGGGGGCAAAGGCCCAGAAGAGTGGTAGTGGTGGTAGTAGGGTTAGCCCTGAGCCCCGGGCTAACCGATGCCTCTTTCCCACAGGCCTCCTCCAGATCTCACACCCTATGGACCCATGGGCTTCTTTTTCTGGTTTGCTCCTCCAGGGAAATTTGCATATTTCTCCAAAGAACCTTCAAGAACCTGGACAGCCTGTTTTCAGACTTAGAGGGGAAGCCCACGGTTGTTTCTTGAAATCTGGGTAAGTATTATTTAAGGTTTCTTTCTCTTCAGAACCCTTGTCATTACTTAAAGTGATATTAATTTAAATGTCGTGAGTTTACATGTTATCTATCTCCCCGACTAGAATGTATCTCTATGGTGGAAGGTGGTTGTCTGTTTGTCTTAGTCACCGCTGTGTCCCCAGCATGTAAGACAGCACCTGGTACATATTTATTGTACGTATCTGGTACATATTTGTTTCTTTATTTATTTATTGGGTTTTGTGGGGGGTTTTAGCTGTGCTGTGGGGCATGTGGGATCTTAGTTCCCCGACCAGGGATCGGACCTGTGCCCTGGAAGTAGTGGAAGCGTGGAGTCCTAACCACTGGACTGCCAGGGAAGTCCCTGGTAGATGTTTATTAAATTAACTAACTGGTTGGTTTGGAGTGGAGGCGAATATCTATTTTAGATTTACTTAGAACTTAAGGTTTTCATATTCTCTAGTGACATCCCACCTTTCCTTTTTAAATAATTACAGATTTCACAGGCAGTTGCAGAAGTCATACCAAGGGGTCCCGTGTACCCCCACTCAGCTCCCCGTATGGCCATTGCCTTTGAGGTTAAGTCGGACTCCTTAGCTGGGAGGACTTGGTCCTGCAGGGCGTAGCCCCTGGCAGCTTCCCCTCCAGCCTCATTTCTTCCCTCCCAACCTCTACACCGACCCATTGTCCAAGCCCTGACTACACTGAGCATCCTTTCCGTTCTTCAGAAGCATCCTCTCTCTTCTCCCTCTGGGACTTGACAGATGCTATCCCCTCTGCCTAGAACATTCTCTTCCCACTGACCCCACCCCTGTCTGATGTCACTTTCTCTGGGAAGCCAATTCTGGGCTCCCCTCTTTGTATCCCTCTATCTGTGTTTTCTCCATCACAGCGTTTATCCCACTGGGTTATCATCTGTTTACTTGTCCATCTAGCTCTACCACTGTCCTGTTTCTCCTACTGGAATACCCTGTCCCACCCATCTGCAGGGCTGTCCCCCTTACTTCCTGCAGGCCTCTGCTGGAGTGGCACCTTTCATCCGATACTGTTGTCAGCCCCCGCCATCCTGATCACTGCATATCACCGTCTCCCTAACTGTTCACTGCCCAACTGAATGTTTATATATTTACTTACTTACTTAGTGGACTGTTACATCCAGATCCCCTGAGTGCGAATCTCAGTTCCACCACTTAATAGCTGTGTGATCGTGGCAAGTACTTAAATGACTATGATCATGATGTATTAGTGTATCATCTCCTGTCTCCCACCAGAATGTAAGCCCCTTGAGAGCAGGGAATTTGTCAGTTTTGTCCCCTGATTTGCCTCAAGGCCCTCTTCACTCATCCCGCAAGTAGTTATTGAATGCCTGCAATACTCCAGGGCCTGTTCAGAAAGCTGGGGTTACAGCAGTGAAAAAACAACCAGGGGCTGCCTCGAGAAGTTTATGTTCTACTTGTTTACACAAGTAAACAATATAATTTAAAAATATATTATTTAAGACAGGAGTAAGTCTTATAGAAAGAGAACAGGGTGCTAGGATAGAGAGGCAGAGTACATGGCCTGGGGAATCAGGGAAGGCCTCTCAGAGGAGGTGACATTCAGGCTAAGGCCAGAATGATGTGAAGGTCAAATGTAAAGTGTCCCAGGCTGGGGGGAATGGCAGGTGCAAAGGCCCAGAGGGAGGACCAGCTTGCGTATTTGAGGAGCAGAAAGACAGCCAGCATGGCTATAGTGTAGTGAACAAGGCGGGTGTGGGGGGCGTGAGCTGGAGTTGAGAGGCGGGCAGGGGCCAGATCAGGACTCTGTAGACTATCATGAAAGGATTGGTATTCATCCTGGGGTGATGGGAGGCCTTCGGAGGCCTTTAAGCAGGTGAGTGACATGATTGGTATATAGGACAGCAAGGCCACTCAGGCTACTGTGTAGAGAATGGATTATAGGGCATCAGGAGAGTATTTTGTTGAATGGATGAATGAATGAATTTGGCCTGAGCTGAGCTCTTCGTGCACTCAGCGCAACCCCCTGTCCCCTGTGGTTAGAGACAGGCCAGCTCATGCTTCTCTGATTAGAAGGCTGTTTCTTCTTGAGCTGAGAGCTAACATGGGGCTCCCCAAATACCAGCCCAATAAAATACCATCTTGGGTTCTTCTGGGTAATAGGGACAATTACCCCAGCTGCCAAGTGGCACAAGGTAGTAGAAATTGCTAAGCCTGCTGACATCAAGGCCAGGCGCTGCCCCCGGTGACGTCCTTGGTTCTTGGCTTGTTGCTGTCCTCTTTGTCCACCGACATGGTCTGCACTGATTATCTGAGCCAGGGAAATCTACAAACAGATCTCGAACTTGGGTTCCTGGAGCAACCATTGGAGGCCAGTCTTGCTGGGTGACATTGGGCATGATCTTAACCTCTCTGGGCCTCAGTTTCTCCATCTGAAACAAGGGAAGGAGAATCCCTGTGCGGGTGTAGAGGAGAGAACATGGGGTTTAGAATCAAAGTCTGGTTTGACTTTTCATCACATACTTACTGTGTAACTGTGGGGAAATCGCTTGGCCTCTCTGAAGCTTATAGTTAAAGGAGAGAACCTCATAACGCCTCACGTCCTACTTAACCTTACGTGGTAGTTGTAAGAATTAAATGGATTTAAAGTGCTCTGTAAACTGTTACGTGCTGTCCAGATGTTGGTTTGTGGCTTTTAACTACCTCAGAGTTATTTTGAAAAACTGATGGCAATATTAGTTGTGGACAGATTTTTAAATAATCCCTCCATGGAGGTGATACTTTGAGAACAAAAGATTTTATTGCTCAGCTGGATGAGAACAAATTTGTGGACCAAAGTTAGTGTGGAGTATGGGTATTAGACTAGAAATCTCTTGGCGATAAGACGAGTGTTCGAAACAGAGATGGTGGCCAAGAGCTCTGGCTTTGGGCTCTGGTCTGCCATTTACTGGCATGTGACCTGGGCCCAGTTCTTCTCTGAGCCTGTTCCCCTCCGGTTTGAAAACTGGATGCTATGGTATCAACAGTACCTGGCTCGTAGAGTTGGCTGGGACCATGCATGTTAAAAACTGTAGCCCCAGGGCCTGGCATCCAGCAATGGCTCAATAATGTTGCCTCTTACTATTATTTATACACCTTTGCTGTGTGCCAGGCACTGTGCTGAGCATCTTATTTACTTGTCTGTTGATTCTTTTTATGCATTTATTTCTTCACGGCCATGTCATTTATTGCTTACACAGCTCTTCCAGACACGTACTGTTACAGTCCATTTTTAGGCAAAGGAATCTCAGTGCAGAGAGTTTGAGTTGCCCAAGGCCCCACATCTATGAGTTGGAGGCACTTAGATTCACACCCTGTCTGTCTGGTCCTGAGCCTGCATTCATATCCACAGTGCCCTATGGTCACGGCTGGCACCCTTCCCAGTACCCGCTCCCAGGGCCCTTGGATGCCTGACTTGGCTTGGTTTGTCCCTTCCCCAATCCTCCCCACCCATCCCTTCCCTTCTTCCCCTTCTGCCCCTGGGAAGGAAAGAGAATAAAGGGAGGGACAGAGGAAGGGGAAGGAGACCTTGCTCCCTCCCTTCCTTCCTTTCACTGAAGTATAACATACATAGAGTACACAAATCGTAAGTGTACAGCTCAGTGAATTTTTAAAATATATTTATGCTCATGTAGTCACCACCTGGGTCAAGATATAGAACATTTCCATCACCCAGAAGCCTTGCTGTCCCCCTTCTAAGCCAATATTCCCTCCCACTGGCAACCTCTCTTCTGACTCTTCTCACAATAGATTGGTTTGACCTATTCTTCAAGTTCATATAAACGTAATCCTACAGTATATATTCTCTGGTGAATGACCATCTGCTTACCATTGAGATTCACTCATGTTGTGGTGAGCCAAACTTCATTCTTTTCATTTCTGTGTAATATTCCATGGTATAAATCTGCATAGGTTGTCCATTCTGCTGTGGGTGAATGTGTGGGTTGTTTCATTTGGGACTATTATGAGTGAAGCTCCTATGAACATTTGTGTCTTTTGGGAGACATAAACCTTCATTTCTCAGGAGTGGAGTTGCTGGGGTGTAGGGAAGACACATGTTTAAATTTAGTGGATAAAGTCAAACCATCTTTCACAGGGTTGTACCAATTTACACTCCCACCAGCAGTGTATGAAAGTTCTATTTGCTCCTTATTCTCTTAGTATTGTAGGTCTTTTTAATTTTAACCTTTCTGATATGTGAATGGTAGTATCTCATTGGAGTTTTAATTTCCATGTCTCAGATGGCTAATTTACACTCCCACCAGCAGTATATGGAAGTTCTATTTGTCCCTTATCTTCGTCAGCACTTGGTATTGTCAGTCTTTTAATTTTAGCCATTCTGATGGGTGAGTAGCCGTGTCTCATTGGGGTTTTAATTTCTGTTTCTCTGATGCCCAGTGATGTTGAACACCTCTGCGTGTGCTTATTGGCCATTGGATATCTTTTGTGAAGTACCTATTCAAGTCTTTTGCCCATCTTAAATTTGCCTTGTTTCTTTTTCTTAGTGACTTGTAGGAGTTGTTTTTACACTATGGATACAAATCCTTTGTGATATACACATTGAAAATATCTCCCCCAGCCCCAGTCTCTTAAAGATGATGAATAGAAGTTTTTAATTTGAATGAGGGCTAATTTGTCTACCTTTTCTTTTATGATGTGGTAGTTTTTGTGTCCCATTTAAGGAAGCTTTGCCTACCTGCTGAAAGCATTTTTCACTGGGATTTCTCCCTGCAGGGCTGGAAATGGCCACAGGGGACGGGTCGAGCCAGAGGCTGCCCCAGGTGGCCGAGCCAGGTGTGGAAGGGGAGCCGCATCTGCCCACAGGCCGGGAGCTGACCGAGACCAACCGTTTTGCCTATGCCGCCCTCTGTGGCATCTCCCTGTCCCAGCTCTTTCCAGAACCTGAGCAAAGGTGAGTGCTTTTATCTCACAGAGGGATGGTCATGCTTCTTCAGGGAGATGACTCTTGGCAGCCAAGCAGCCTGCCAGGTGTTACTGGACACTACAAAGAGGAGAAAGCCATTGTCCTTGCCTTCAAGGAGCTCACAGTGTGGTAGGGGGCTAGGGCATCCCTCATTCAGTACCCACTTATTTATACCTTCACCAAGCATTTAAGGAGCACCTAGAAGCATTTCACCAGGCACCGTTTGAAGTACATGGAAAGTGGACATGAGTAAGACAAACAAGGCCGGGGCTTCCCTGGTGGCGCAGTGGTTGAGAATCTGCCTGCTAATGTAAGGGACACGGGTTCGAGCCCTGGTCTGGGAGGATCCCACATGCCGCGGAGCAACTAGGCCTGTGAGCCACAACTACTGAGCCTGCGCGTCTGGAGCTTGTGCTCCGCAACAAGAGAGGCTGCGATAGTGAGAGGCCTGCGCGATGAAGAGTGGCCCCCGCTTGCCACAATTAGAGAGAGCCCTCACACAGAAACGATGACCCAACACAGCAAAGATAAATAAATTAATTATCTCCTACCCCCAACATTAAAAAAAAAAAAAAAAGACAAACAAGGCCGACACTATCCCTGCCCTCAAGTAGGACACACCCTAATAGGGGGATAAGATATCTACACTCAGTGAGCACTTACTATGTGCTGAGTGTAGTACAAGGCCCTGTGGAGAAAACAAGGAAAAGCAAGGCCTGGCTTCTACCCTCCTGGTGCTTACAGTCTGGTGGGGGGCGGGCACCCAAATGAGTGATCTTAACAGTGGACAAGTGGGCTAAGTGCCACGATGCATATCAGGTTCAGTGACACTCAGTACATGGAGTCGGAATGGTAGAGTGGCTAAGAGCTTGGGCTTGGCCTTCAAGCCCTTTAAGGATTTTGCGGGGAGAGAGTTTGGAGACCAGAGGAGGGAGTTGTTTGGAGAAACCAGGACAGTGACCCAGAGATGGAGGGACACACGCAGTTTTTCTCAGGGAGAATGCAGTTGACTTGGAGACAGCTTGGGTGCTGTGGATGGGCCAGAGGGAGGAGCTAACTTTGGCCCCAAAGGTCCAGATGGGGAGGGGTCCTGGGAGGACAGAGATATCATTCCTGAGACAGGGAGTGATGGGTTGGGGGCAGGAGATGGCAAGAAGTTTTTGCATCTGCAGTGTTTTCAAGAACCGCAGCCCCCAACCCCAGCCATGGTCCCCATGAGTAAACTTCCCCGTGCCTTGGGTCTTAGCTGGGTTTTTGTTTGTTTTGCTTTTTTTCTTTGTCCCTCCCACTGGCCCGAAACTTGAGCGTTTTCATCTCCTTGGGGGTCACTTCCAGGAAGCCTTCCCAGACCCTCCTCAGCCCCCCAGACAGGAAGCTTCTCCACCTGTCTGTCCAGTGACCTGTCACCACAGCCACCATGCTGCACTGTAACTCTTCCCTGAAGGGCAGGAGCTGCCTCGTTCATCTCTGAGTTCCCAGTGCCTGGCACACAGCTTGGTGTAACACACACCCTCGGTAAAGGTCTGTGAAAAGAAGGGATGGATAAATACTGACTTTCTTAGCACAGGAGACATTCCACGGGATTTGGACTTAGATCTGGGTTCGAGTCCTACCCCTGCCACTTTCCAGTTACATGTGGCCTTAGGCAGTTTATTTAACTTCCCTATGCATCAGTGTCTTCATCTGTAGAATAGGGCTAGTGATACCCACCTGCTGAGTGACTACAAGAATCAAATGAGATGATATAGTTAAAGCACATAGCATAGTGTTCGGCCCACAGTAGGTGCTCAATAAATGGTGGTGCTTGCTGAGTCTGTGACTTACTTTATTTGTTCAATTTCCTCATCTGTAAAATGAAGACAATCCTGGAACTTACCCCTACCATTCAGGGTACTTTGGGCTGCAAGTAACAGTACACTGTACTAAAAGAGATTTAAATAATAAAAGTTACAATGACCATCATCAAAAAATCTAGAAACAATAAATGCTGGAGAGGGTGTGGAGAAAAAGGAACCCTCCTGCACTGTTGGTGGGAATGTAAATTGATACAGCCACTATGGAGAACAGCATGGAGGTTCCTTAAAAAACTGAAAATAGAACTACCATACGACCCAGCAATCCCACTACTGGGCATATACCCTGAGAAAACCATAACTCAAAAAGATACATGTAGGGACTTCCCTGGTGGTGCAGTGGTTAAGAATCCGCCTGCCAATGCAGGGCACAACGGGTTCGAGCCCTGGTCCAGGAAGATCCCACATGCTGCGGAGCAACTAAGGCCGTGCGCCACAACTACTGAGCCTGCGCTCTAGAGCCTGCAAGCCACAACTACTGAAACCGGCACGCCTAGGGCCTGTGCTCCACAACAAAGACAAGCCACCACGATGAGAAGCCCGCGCACCACAACGAAGAGTAGACCCCGCTCACCGCAGCTAGAGAAAGCGTGTGCGCAGCAATGCAGACCCAACACAGCCATAAATAAATAAATAAATAAATTTATTTTTTAGAAAAGATAATGTACCACAATATTCATTGCAGCACTATTTACAATACCCAGGACATGGAAGCAACCTAAATGTCCATCAACAGATGAATGGATAAAGAAGATGTGGCACATATATACAATGGAATATTACTCAGCCATAAAAAGGAATGAAATTGAATTATTTGTAGTGAGGTGGATGGACCTAGAATCTGTCACACAGAGTAAAGTAAGTCAGAAAGAGAAAAACAAATACCATACGCTAACGCACATATATGGAATTTTAAAAAGTGGTACTGATGAACCTAGTGGCAGGGCAGGAATAAAGAGGCAGACATAGAGAACAGACTAGAGGGCACAGGGTGGGAAGGAGAAGCTGGGATGAAGTGAGAGAGTAGCACTGACATATACACACTACCAAATGTATAATGGATGGCTAGTGGGAAGCAGCTGCATAGCACAAGGAGATCAACTCGATGCTTTGTGATGACCTAGAGGGATGGGATAGGGAGGGTGGGAGGGAGGTTCAAGAGGGAAGGGATATGGGGATATATGTATACATGTAGCTGATTCACTTTGTTGTACGGCAGAAATGAATACAACATTGTAAAGCATTTATATTCCAATAAAGATGTGAAACAAATTTTAAAATTTAAAAATAAATAATAAGAGATTTGTTTTTCTCACTTAACAAGACATCAAAAGGAAGAGAGTTCCAGCATTGATACAGCACCTCAAAAAGCCTTTGGGTTGGCTTTTCTGCAGTTCTTAGCCTCCCCCTCCTGATCATAAAATGGCTGCTGCAGTGCCATACATCACAGAACAAGACCCAAGGCAAAGGAAGGAAGGCCCAAGGAAGAGGAGGACAGGGATTCTCTTCAAGTCTCTCATCAGGGAGGAACTCTTTCCCGGGATACCCTGAGAAGGCTTCCCCTTTTGTGTCATTGGCTAGGTCTAGTCAAATGCCCTCGCCTCACCTGCAAGGGAGGCAGGGAAAAAAATAAAGGCACTTGACATACTCTGTCTCCGTCATGGGAGGGGGCTTCTACTGGTCAGGAAGAAGGGGCTGGGGAATCACTGCTGCTGAGAAACGGCCATCCATCAGAGAGGGTGGTCCTGAGGAAGGAACGTGTTGATGGCCCCTGCAGAGCCTGGCACAGAGCTACTGCCAAACAAACGTTGGATGTTCTCATTATTAATAATGAAACCACGTTCTCTATCTAGAGGTTAGAATATATCTCGTTGGATGTTCTGTTCCCAAGCAAGCCAGGGTCCCATCTCCTGCAAGGGTCCAGCTCTCTCCCTGCTCTAGCCCATACCTGTGCCATGCATGGGAAGCTCTGTCTTTCCAGAAGCTTCTCAGATCTGATAAATCCCTACCTGATAAGCTGGTAGATAGGTGGGGGAAGAGTTCTGCATACTTTGTTCACATAAACAAATATTTATGAACCTGAACTGTGTGCCAGGCCTGTGCTGGGCACCGCCTGGGAGGGCACATGGAGAAGTTGTTCTGTGTCCCCCACAAAATCCAAGTATGGTGTTAAGCACAATGTGGCTGAGCCGGAAGCATCTGCCTTGGGGGCAATTTCCTTCCTGAAAGTTACAATGCTCTATGCCACCTCTTTCCGCTTGGTTGATCTCAGTCTTCTTAAGGCCCCAAACACATTTTAAAACCAGCCTCAATCTGGGTTGTAAATCCCAGATATGCTGTTGGTTTCAGTAATCTTTAGAAAACTTTCTGTGTTTATGTCCACATGGGGCATAAAAGCAAGCCTTTTAAATATTTATCTCTCTTCCATGCTGTAAGCGTCACAGACGCTGTTCCTTACAATGAACTCTGTTTATTAAACTTGGAGATATTAATGGTGTAGAGCAGGGGTCAGTAAGCTTTGTCCGTGAAGGTCTCGATACTTTAGGCTTGCAAACCCTGTGGCCTCTGTTGCAGTCACCCAGCTTTGCTGTTGCATGTAGGCTAAAAGCAGCCGGGAGACAGCATGTAAAGGAATGGGCGTGCTGTGTTCCAATAAAACTTAGTTTCAAAAAAAAAAAGGGGGCTGCAGCCCCCTGGTGTAGTTTTCCAGCCCCTAGTGAATAGGAGGAGCTTTGGACTAGGAGTCGGGAACCTGGATTCCAGATGAGGCTTTGCCCTTTCCCAGCCAGGGGACCCTTGATATGGCGTTTAACCTCCATAGCCCAGGGGCTCCGTCTCAAGACATGGCAAGGATGAGAGGGGAGATGGATGCACCAGCCTAGCCGGTGCCCAGCACTCGGTGGGTGCCAAGGAATGTGATTGCTGGAGAGGGACGATCTCTGCAGTGGTGAAGCATGGCCTCTGGAGTCAGAGAGAACCCTGGACCCTGGAGCTGTCACTTAACCTCTCTGGGGAATACCCTGGCAGTCCAGTGATTAGGACTCCGTGATTTCACTGCTGAGTGACCTAAGATCCCACAAGCCATGTGGCATTGCCAAAAACCACAAAACAAACTAACAAAAAAACACCTTTCTGGTTCCGGGTGTCTTTATCTCTAGAATGGGGGTAAAAATAGTACCTCCCTCCCTCATGGGGCTGTAATGAGAAGTAAATGAGTCCGTGTGTATGAAGCACTAAGTACAGGGACTGACAGACAGTTGCTCTGTGATCACCATTGATTATCATCATTGCTATTGATTTTTAGTTGGTTCAGCTAGATCAGCAGTCACGTTAGAAGCATTTACCAAGGCCCTGCCATTCTACAATGCTATTTCTTATTTCATAGATTGCTGTCCTGGCACTTTACATATATATTTATTAATTCATTTGTTCATTTAAAGAAACACCAGTATAGGGCTTTATATGTGCCAGGTTTTGCTCTAAGCACATGACAAATGTTAACTTAGCTTTCAACAACACTATGCAATAGGTTTCATCGTTATCGCCACCGTTTTACAGACAAAGAAACAGAGGCACAGAGAGGCTAAGTAACTTGCCCAAGATCACACAGATTGTGGCACAGCTGGGATTTGAGCTGGAGTTCGTGCTCCTCACTCCTCCACTCTTGTTCTGAGATGCTTCTCTACATCCAGGACTTCCTTCATGGACACAGGGCCAGGCCGTGCCGCTGCCCTCGGCACTACGTATATGTTTACCCCAAAGTAATGCTCAATTCACTTAGTCATCCCTCCCTGCATATACACTCACACATCATCCCAGGGTAATCCCAGTAATTGTAGCGGGGTAAGTTACAGTAATTGTTACAGCAGTAGCTAACATTTATTGAGGGTTATCAGGCACTATTATGTCATTTAATCTTTCCAGCCAATCCATGAGACAGGCCCTATTATCATCCTCATTTTACAGCAGAGGAGAGTAAAACTAAGAGAGGTGAAGTAGGGCATGAAGCCAGTCACCGAGGGAGCCAGGACTCCCCCGAGGGGTCAGACATTAGAGCCCGGCTCAACCCTCTTCTCCACTGCCTCTCTTGGTCACCTTGTAAATAAAATAGTGATGCTAACTAACATTAGTTGAGTATCTACTGCATGCCAAGCCCTGCTCGGGCTGCTTTACATGTATCATCTCATTTAATCCTCAAACAATTTTATGAAGTTGGTTTCTTAGACCCATTTGCAGATAAGGAAACTGAGGCACAGAGAGGTCGAGTTACTAGCTCAGATGTCCTTCAGGAGTGAAGGACTTTCCTGGGACTTCCCTGGCGCTCCAGTGGTTAAGACTCCACGCTTCTACGGCAGGGGGCGCAGGTTTGATCCCTGGTCAGGGAACTAAGATCCCTCATGCCCCGTGGCATGGTCAAAAAAAAAAAGGAGTGAAGGACGTTCCCCCAGCTACTGAGAGGGCTTTCCAGCACAGCCTGGGTCTGCCTCAGCTGAAGAGAGCCACTTCACCCAAGGTTCTGCTGCCTTCCTGGGTCAGCCTTTGTCCGATGACTGTCTGAAATAAGGGTATAAAGGCCCAGCCCTGTTGCCCCACTGGGGGCAGTTCTCAAGGGTCACCCCATCTTCAGATCTCCCCACAGGGTCAGCTGAGGCTTCTGTTGAGACTGGACCTCCCTGCCCAGTCCTGTATCCTCCCTGCCCATTCACAGACGTTGACCCCAACAGAATCCCCAGTAATCATTTCAGAGCTGCTTCCCGGGGACCTGGACCAAAACAGTGGTAGGGCCAGGATTTGAACCTGAGTCCTGCACTGCTCCTGTCACAGGCCCAGCCTGCAGAGATCTCTCTACTTGGGTTTTGGCAGCAGCAGCTCTAAAGAATGGGTTGGGTGGGCTGCCTGGGATCCACAGGAACCGGAGCTGGGCAGTGCAAGCAGGGAGCTTCCTGAGGTCGCCCTCTCTACCAGGGAGCTCTGCTTGTCTCTGGGAAGCCTTTTCTCTGCACTGGTCTAATCCCCTCTGATCTGATTCCCTTTTCCGCATCCCAGTGGTGGCTTGGAATCAAAGCCTTATATGGACTCTTCTGGGGTCCCCAAGATGCCATGTGTTTCCTGTAGCTCCTGGGGTCCCTTCTCTCCTGGAGCACCCCATCCATCCCCCACCCAGGGACCCCCTCAAATGACTGCTGCAGACAGAGCCCCCATGGTGGCGGTGGGCACGGCTGGAGGACAGACTTCTCTGCACTTTATCCACTTCTACAGCAGCCATTGTGTCTCCAGAAAGCATGTCCGTGGCCATTTCCAACAGCAGCCAATCTCCATGTGTGGGAACCTTTTCTGGTCACTGCCTCTCACCTCACAGGTGGATTTGGGGCTCCCTCTCGACTCATCGGGGCTTGATTCCTGCCCCTGTCCTAGCATATCCCATGGCCCTGGATCAGTTAGTTCCGCTCAAGTCTCCATCCCGCTGCGAGCGTCTCATCCAAGGCCCATCTTGCTCATTTTTGATTCCACAGCCCCAGGGCAGGCCGGCCTCAGGGCGTATGGTCAGTAACTGCTCGTTAGCCCCGTTCGTGTGGTTTATCAGCCCTGTGGTCAAAGTTTTGGTGGAGGAAGAAGCCCAAGTCCACACACCTGAAATCAGGTTTTGGCTCTTCCGTATTCCCTGGGCCACAGTCGCCGTGGTTTTTTGTAAGTGCCAGGTCTTCACATCCCTGCACACACCTCATATCGTGAGATGCACGGTCCAGGATCTCAGCTGCGTCTGTCTTTCAGATCCTTCTGCACGGACTTTGTGGCTGGCCTGGTGAAGTGGCTGGACTTGTCTGAAGCTGTCTTGACAACCATGACTGCTTTTGCCAGCGGCCTGGGAGGCGAAGGAGCAGACACGTTTGCTCAGATTTTATTGAAGGACCCCATCTTGAAGGACGACCCACTGGTGATCACTCAGGTACACCCACCGCCCAGGTGGTGGCTGCCAGGGAAAGTAGAACAGATAATTTCCACTCAAAGTCAGCCTGAATATCGCTTCTAGTGGCGTGGGGCGAATTGAAAGATTAAATATTGCATCATAATTTCATGTGATGATGACGATCATAGCTAATGTTGAATTATCATTATTGAATATTTACTATCGATTTATTACTTAAACAGTACTTATTATATGCTAATACCTTACTAATATGAACTCATTTAATTCTCAAAGCAATTTTATTAGATAGTAGGATGATAAATGGAGGCACAGAGACGTTAGGTAACTTGTTCAAGGTCACACAGCTGATTTGAACCTTGGCAGTCTTACTCCAGAGCCCGTGCTCCTGACTGCTAAGCTGTGGTGCCTCCTTTTGGAAGTAGCAGCTTTGCTGTGTGCCCTTGGGCATGTCACTCACCTGCTCTGTATGCATTTGAAGCAGGCAGAAGCTTGACACAGGCTATCGATGGGTACAGCCCTTCCCCTCCTTCATCTGACTCCCTGAAATTCTCACGCATTTATTCAGTTATCTGCTTACTTGTTTGTCTGGCTCGCCCCTCGAATGTACGCCAGAGGTATTTTGTCTGCCTTGTTCTCCCACTTTTTAAGGGTCAATAAACATTTGTCAAGTGAGCAGGCTGGTTACAAATCAACCTATTGCTAATTCCTGTTACTCTTCCCTCAGGACCTTCTGAGCTTCTCACTCAAGGATGGTGAGTTGATTTCATAAGTTGTGGGGCACGTATCTGCACCTCAGCCAGTGAAGCCAGTGGTAGGTGTTGCCCCTGCGGTCCCGTCCCCAGTGACCTTTTTGGTGCAAGAAAGGAAAGGGGGCTTCCCTGGTGGCGCAGTGGTTGAGAGTCCGCCTGCCGATGCAGGGGACACGGGTTCGTGCCCCGGTCCAGGAAGATCCCACATGCCGTGGAGCGGCTGGGCCCCTGAGCCGTGGCCGCTGAGCCTGCGCGTCCGGAGCCTGTGCTCCGCAACGGGAGAGGCCACAACAGTGAGAGGCCCGCATACCGCAATAAAAAAAAAAGAAAGGAAAGGGAAGCCAGTAGAGCTGGGCCACGAGCCCAGCGAGCCACGTTCATCCTAGCCTGCTTCCTGCCCCCACCTGCCAATCACAAGCCCTCCTGAGCTCCCAGGAGCACCCAGGACACTTTACTTACCCCCTTTGCTGTGGGTGACCTTGGCCTGGCTCTCACAGAATAATTGGAGTGGGTTTGAAACAGTCTGTCTAATGTCATCACCTGGTACTTCATTCCCTCCCGGGGGTATTCTCATAGGCAGCCTCTAAACCGGCATTGCCTTTGAGATGTCTCTTGAGAATAACCACCACTTATGAAGCACCCTGTTAACGCTGGTCATGGTACCCGACCCTTGTCAGGCATTGTTTCACATCATCCTCATAGACATCCTTTCATGTAGACATTCCCACTTTCCAGACGAGCAAACTGAGGCCCAGAGAGGTGAAGTAACTGGCCTAAGCTGGTAATGGCAGAGCTGGACATTCTAAAACAAGTGCTATTAACAAAAACCTTAGCAGATTTTACCCACAGGGGTTGAGGACTGTGGCAGCATCCCCACGGGAATATAGTAGTACCTCGTATCTAAAGAATACCAGTCTCTGACAACATCTGGGGGGTGCCTTTGGTTTATCTCAAAGCCCCACCAGATGCCGGCATCTACAAACAGGAGGAGCTTCACTGGCACGCCGGGACCCCAATGGGAGTGGGTGCTAGGGCTCAAAATTTCCCCAGAGGTCAGAGGTAGGTGGTCCCTCAAACCATCTAGACGACCCTCTCATCAGACACAGGCAGACCTCGGAGATATTGCGGGTTCCGTTCCAGACCACCGCAGTAAAGCCAGTCACGTGAATATTTTTGGTTTCTCAGTGCATATAAAAGTTATATTTACACTATACTGTAGTCTATTAAGTGTACAGTAACGCTGTGTCTAAAACAACAATGGATATACCTTAATTTAAAAATGCTGTTGGAAAAATGGCACTGATGGACCTGCTGGATGCAGGGTTGCCACAGACAAGGCAAAGAGCAGTAAAACGAGCTCCGCCTGTAGGTGAGAAAAGGAGGCCCGGAGTGGGAGCGGCTACAGTTGTCATGTCCAACTCTGTCCTTATTAATGAAGAACCAGGGACCAAGAACTGGGTGCATCTGGGGATCAGGCTGCCTGGTGTTAAGATTCAAGCTCTACTTTGGCAAGGTCCTGAATGTCTCTGTGTCTCGGTTTTCTCAGGTGTTAAATGGGAACAAACAGTACTTTTTACCTTATAGGGCAGTGGTGAGGATTAAATGAAATAACCCAGGTAAAGTGCTCAGAACAGAGCTGGCGTGCAGGAAGCAGGCCATGAGTGCCACTGGGGCACGGTGGTGGTGGTGGTGAAATGGGAAAGCCCTGGGAACCAGAAAACCTGGACTGTCATCCTGTCTCTCAGACTCCCATTGTGTGACCTTGATCAAGTCACTTAACTTCTCTGAACTTCAACTTCAAATACAAATGAGAGGCAAGAGCCAGATGCTACTTCAGAGCAAAACAAAACTGTCTTTGATCCCAAGAACACAGTCAAGGATCTTGTAAGGAGAAGGTCAGTGTCACAGTTGGGCCGGTTGTTCAGGGCCTTTCCCATAAGCTCCATGAGAGTAGGGCCCTTGTCTGGCTTGTTCACCATCATATCCCAGTGTCTGCAACACTGATGGACACGTGGCGGGCATTTAGTACTTGTTGGGTGAATGGATGGATGGATGAAGGGATGGAGGGACGGATGGATAAATGGATAGAAGGTTGGATGGATAGAAATAAGGATGGATGTCCTTTCCTTAGAGCACAAGCTCAGATACTAGCAAGATGGTTTGTCTGAACTTGAGGGCTAAAACATCTTTTTTCTACAGAGACTGATGGAGTAGGACACACAGCACAGAAGGCTCTCTGTGCTACTGCCTCTCTCTCTGGGTGTGACACAGGGTGATTAATCATGGAATCAGCCCAAGACATCAACACAAAAAGCCGCACGTCTCTGAACTTCCTGGAAGGTTGACCCATACTGACAATATTGGGATGTTAGTCACAAAACAATGCCATCTTGGCAGCTGGGTGGAATTTTTTATGCATGCTAATCATTTTCTTCTCACCCAGTAACAACCCATGAAGCTTCTTGCCCACACAACTGGAAAAAATAAGCCTTTTATATGTTGAAGGTTAAACTAAATCTGAGCCAACTCTAGACTGGGTTTCACAACTGTGGCACTATTGACATTTGGGACTGGATAATTCTTTGTTGTGGGACCACCCCGTGCCATGTAGGAGATTTAGCTAAATCCCTGGCCTCTACTCACTAGATGCCAGTAGCACTTCCTGAGTTGTGATAACCAGAAATGTCTCCATGCTTTGCCAGATATCCTCGGGGGGCAAAAACATCCCTGGTTGAGAACCATGGGTTCAGGACCCCAAATTTGGCCGTCTCAGGTGGGGCTGGTTTATTTGTAGTTGGTAATCTTTATAAGTTACATAGTTGCTCTCCTAGGTCCTGTACACAGATGGTGAATTATTGCATCGTATATAATCCTCAAATCAACTGCTAGAGTAGATACTGTTATCCCCACTGGTAGGAAATTAGGCTCAGGAGGTTAAGTAACCCGAGGTGGCATTTCCAAGTAAGTTTCAAATTCCATTTAAGGCAGTGAGTCTCATGGTGAACGTGCGCAGGACACTTAAGCTGAAGCATGGCTCTTGCCCTCTGTACTCTGAATCCTAAGATAACATTGACTCCAGGCCATGGAACCCGACGACATGCAGCCACATGAGATATAACAACCTTCACCGCAAACTTGGCTCTACTTTCTGACCTGGTCTTTATTACTGAGTTGCAAACCCTACCTCCCCAATGAATCAGAAAGGTTTGAGAGGTTGGTCGTTGATCGTGGTGGAACGCGTTGTCAGCTGGTGGCTAGGTTCTTCATCAGGTCCTCAAGGTTCGTAAAGCTTGCTATCAGTATTGAAGCTGGCTGTTCATCCATTCAGCAAATGAGAACGGAGCCCGCACTGTGTGTGCCAGGCCGTCTGCTAGGTGCTGGGAGTAGTTCTAACCAGGGCCGATGCTCATTGAGTGCCTACTGTGTGCAGGCCCTGAGAAAAATTCTTTACAATTTGTTTAAACCCCTCAACAGCCCTGGGAGGTAGATGCTATTCCTGTCCCCCATTTTACAAAAGAGGCAGCTGCGGCCCAGAAAGTGAAATCACCTGCCTGAGGTCACACAGCAAGGATTTGAACCCAGGCAGTGTGGTTCCAGAGTCCATGCTTAACTGCTGTTCTGCTTCCTACATGGAGATAAAATGATAAAATCCTCATCCTTACAGCTGACTTTAAGGGGATTTGATGAGGCCAGAATGAAGCGTGGGCACCCCATGTGGTAGAGGCCGGAGGAGGCCAATCTTGCCAGCAGCTGAGAGGGTGGAGCCGGAGGGAGGCCTCAGATGGGCCCCCTTTGCTCCCATGACCACCGGCCTTGAAGTAAGCTTGTTGCCACGCTGACCACCCTTAACTGTCCCCCCAAAATGAGCCGTGAAGAGAAAAGGCAGGAGTCATACCTGAAACCATCGGAGTTCGAGTCCTGCCCTGAGACAGGGTGCATCTTAGAAGTCCTGTCCCTTGGGACTTCCCTGGTGGAGCAGTGGTTAAGAATCCAACTGCCATTGCAGGGGACACGGATTTGATCCCTGGTCCAAGAAGATCCCACAGGCCGCAGAGCGACTAAGCCCGTGCACTACAACTACTGAGCCTGTGCTCTAGAGCCCGCGAGCCACAACTACTGAGCCCACGTGCCACAACTACTGAAGCCCGCACGCCTAGAGCCCATGCTCCGAAACAAGAGAAGCCACCACAATGAGAAGTATGCACATTGTGACAAAGAGTAGCCCCTGCTCACCACAACTACAGAAAGCCCACGCGCAGCAACGAAGACCCAATGCAGCCAAAAATTAATTAATTAAATTTAAAAAGAAAAAAAAAAGTCCCGTGCCTCCAGCCACACTCTGCCCACCAAAGTGAAGACCCTGGGAAGACTTGTAAGTCAGACCAGTGCCCATGGGGGAGATGGGGGGAGGACCGTGGGACTAGAGTAAGGTGTGGTTTCCTTTATATGAAAAAAAAAATTCATTGAGGGTGAAATTGGATATAAATATTCTAAATGTTACATAAAATGTACAATTAGAAAAGTTGGGGGAATTCCCTTGTTGTTCAGTGGTTAGGACTCGGTGCTTTCACTGCCAGGTCCTGGGTTCAGTCCCTGGTCGGGAAACTAAGATCCCACAAGGCACGCAGCACGGCCAAAAAAAAAAGTCGGTCCATCGAGGGATGGCAGTGCAGTAGGCTGGTTAATCAGTTGAATGAATACGGCCTGAGAGTGTCCTCAGACCGCAGGGAAAGGCGAGACGAAGGTTCCCCGTGCTGACACAGCAGCAGCAGCTCACAGCCTCACCCCAGCAGCCCTGGCTTCTTAGCATCTAAGGATAGAGGAAATTTGACAATTTACCATAAAAAGAGTACTATTAACCACCCTTTCTTGATCACTTACTGCATCCCAGGTGCTGGCCAGTCTCATCACATGCATCTTCTCTGTATCTCAACAAACGCCAGATTAAAAGGGTATTCTTGCCCCCATTGTACAGATGAGGAAACTGAGGCTCAGAGAGGTCAAGAAGCTTGCCAGAAGCCATTCAGCTAGTAGGTAGTCAGATGAAAATTCAAACCCCAGTCTGTGTCCCAACAAAGGCTGAAGTTTCTGCCTCTGAATTCCTTTTTCCTTTGGTCTGGAGGGCAGTCCCCAAAGGGAAGGGATTGGCCGTGATCTCTTCCCAAAGGTCTGGGATTCTGCTGCTCTCCGAGGAGAGGCAAGCTCAACCCCAGGCAGGTCATTCTGGCTCCCGAACTCAGATCCATAGTGAGAACAGAGGCTGGTTCAGTGCCTGGCAATGGAGGTTGTACTGCTCCCTGAGGAGGTGCATTTGGAAATGCAGGGCAGGTGGTGGTTGTTGTCACAGCGCCTGGGGTGCACCTGGCGTTTAGTGTCAAGCTCCAAGGACGCTGTTCATCCTTTAATGCACAGCACAGTGTTGGATGGTGAAGTGCAAAGTGCATCAACTTCTCTATTGAGATGCTGGTGAGAAAAGGAGCCCAGAAGTGTTTGTTCTGCCCCCGGGTCTGTCCAAACACACTGGGTGACTTTGGACATGTCCCTTGCTCTTCCTAGGCCAGAAGGACCAGTTGGGCTCCAAGGGTGGAGTCTGGGTGGGTGCTGGGGCTGCCCAGCAGTTGGAGGCTGGCATACTCCTGCCCCCTGGGGGCAGAGCCAAGATCCCTGAGCCCGCCCCCCACCAAGATTTTCCAAAGAACAGGCTGCCGGGTGATGGGTCCTGTGTGTGCACCTTTGGCCCATGGCCTAGGGCTATGCCTGGGATTGTGGGTGCACCCCACATATCCCATGCACCCAGAAGGTAGGATTCACAGCTGACCACATGGGATTGACCTGGAATCACAAAACTTCACTTGAGTAGATTTGCCTTATTCTAGTCTTTTTTTTTTTTTTTTGGCTGCACCGCTCAGCTTGTGGGATTTTAGTTCCCCGACCAGTGATCGAACCTGGGCCCTCCACAATGAGAGCTCGGAGTCCTAACCACTGGACCTCCGGGGAATTCCCTCAATTAGATTTGCCTTTAAAAGGCAGCCACAGTGAAATGAACAGAAACTTTGGCATCCTGGGTTTTAAGCCAAATTCCACGGCTCTCTCAGCTGTGTGATTTAGAACAGCGGTCCCCAACCTTTTTGGCACCAGGGACTGGATTCGTGGAAGACAGTTTTTCCGCAGACTCGGGTGGGGGAGATGGTTCAGGTGGTGATGCTAACGACAGGGAGCGATGGGAGCGGCCAATGAAGCTTCGCGCCTCGCCCACAGCTCACCTCCTGCTGTGTGGCCCGGTTCCTAACAGGCCACGGACCGGTACCGGTCTGTGGACTGGGGGCTGGGGACCCCTGATTTAGGAAGTTTCTTAGCCTTTCTGCACCCTTTCTTCCCTCTTGTGCAAAATGAGGCATCGTAATACCAGCTTCCCAGGACCACTGGGAAGATTAGCAATCAGGAATGCAAGCTTCTTGAGTGGTGCCCAGCATTTGTTAGGAGCACCGTGGATGCAGATTTCCTTCCCTGCAGAGGTAGCGGGAGGAGGAGTCATCTTGATTACACCACTTCCTCCAGGCATGAATGCGCCCAGACCTTCTCAGATCAGGAGCTTGCTAGTTAGAACAAGTGCAAAGGCCCTGGGGCAGGAATGAGCTTGGCTTCTTGGTGGGACAAATACTGGTGGAAACAGGGACCAGTAGAAAGTGAGGTGGTAGAGAGTGGCAGGAAGGGGTTAGAAAATGTACAGTCTTGCAGACCATGGGAAGAAATGTGGATTTTATTCTAAGTGCATTGGGGAGTTTTAAGTTGGGGAAGAGAACCCCGATCAGATTTATGACTTCAGCCTTCAAGCTGCTGCGTGGCAAATAGAGTGTGGGGCAGGAGGAACCAGGGCAATGGCTGGTCCTTGAAGAGCGATGGCAGTCACAGTGGCCGCGCAGCAGAGATGGGGAGCCGTGGTCAGACTCAGGATACATTTTGGAGGTGCAGCTGTCACCATTAGCTGGTAGATTGGATGTCTGAGGAGGGGCAACGAGAAAAATCAAGAACGATGCCCAGGCTTTTGGCCTGAACCCCAAGTTGGGCTTTTTATTGAGACAGGATGGATTGGCCCTTGAGGAGTGAGTTGGCTACCTGGCAAGTTGTCCTGGGTAGCCCAGGACTCCTGCCCCTCCTCCACCACTCACCACCTGCCTTAAATAGAACCTCAGCTCCAAGTCCAGCAGCCTGGCTGTCAAGGTCCTTGAAATGACCCTTACACGAGGCTGACATTCCAGAGTCCCGTGCCCGAGAATACCTTGGGAGGTTTTAATCACCTGTGCACCTGGCAGTCTGTATTCCAGAAACTGAATCACGGCAGCCTTGACCAATGGAGTATGAATTAGTGGCTGATAATAACTGCCATCAGTTAATCACCACGGCCAAGGCTTGTTAATTGCCACAGGTCGATTATGGCCTACGTGCAATAGTCTGTGAGCCTAGGAGGGAGCTCCTTTATTTGTGGAACATTAGCTGATCAATAACCCCAAGACATGGCCTGTGGTGTCTGTTTCCCGACACACAGGTCCTCATCCAGGGAGGCGGCCGAGGGCAGCTGGGCAAGTGCTGCTAGACCACGGCTTGCTCTAAGGACCCTCGTTAGAGGAAGGAACTGGCTTATCTTGCAGAAGCTGAGGTTATCGTAGCTACTACGACCTTAGTATAAAATTACCATGCAGCATTGCAGACACCCAGCAGAGGAGGCCGGTTCTGCATCATTCATTAAGGACCCGTCATGGACCCAGAGTCCTCTCCTCAAAACTTTGTGAGGGCTTCCCTGGTGGCGCAGTGGTTGAGAGTCCGCCTGCCGATGCAGGGGATGCGGGTTCGTGCCCCGGTCCAGGAAAATCCCACATGCTGCGGAGCGGCTGGGTTCGTGAGCCATGGCCACTGAGCCTGCGCATCCAGAGCCTGTGCTCCGCAACAGGAGAGGCCACAGCAGTGAGAGGCCCGCATACCGCCAAAAAAAAAAACTTTGTGAGATGACTGTTACTATTTCCACTTCCACCTGAGCGAGGATGAGCTTTGCCCAAGGTTAGACACAAATAGTATCCGTACCCAGGTCTGTCAGGTCATTAATTGAACATTTATTCTTTGTGCCGAGCACTCTCCTAAGGACTGGAGATAAAGCAGTGTAGAGTTTATACTTATAAAGTTTATACTTCACGGGGAGAGACAAACGAGAGTAAATGGATATGATGTCAGAGCAGGGCAAGCTCTGTGTGGAACAAAATGCAGAGTAAAGGGGTAAAGTAATGGGGGCCGGGGGTCAGGAAGGCCTCTGTGAGCGGGAGGCGTCTGAACAGAGACTTGAATGAGGGGGAGGAGCCTCCCAAGAAGATCTGGGGAATGAGCCTTCCCGGTGGTGGAAACAAAACAAGTGCAAAGGCTCCGCAGCAGGAACATTCTAGAAGGTGAGGTCGTGGAGTTGGCCAGGGGCCTTGTATGTCATGATGGAGTTGGATTTCCTTCTGATCGTGATATCACGTCCTTAACAGCTTTGGGATGTGAAAATTTGATCTTTGCTGATTTGGTGAAACACGCCACCTTTCTTCCGATCCGTGTGGGTAATGGTTGCACACGGTTCCGCCCCAGAAGCTGTTTCCTTGCTCAGCTGACTGGTTCTCGGGGCTGTGCACTTCGGACGTATCTGGGGTTTGGGTTTCATCCGTTGCGCTGCTGTTAACATCTCTGTGCTTGGAAGCTGAACTGACCCCGTGCTCTTTCTCTCTTTCCAGGGCGCTACGATGCTCGGGCCCGAGTCCTCATTTGCCACATGACCTCCCTCCTCCAAGTGCCCTTGGAGGAGCTGGACCTCCTCGAAGAGACGTTCCTCGAGAGCCTGAAGGAAACCAAAGAGGAGGAATCTGAGTAAGTGTGCCCTGCGACCCTGGCCACCCTGTCAGGAATCAAGGACTTCCACTCTTCAGATAACAGCATCCTGTGTGTCCCCTCCCCCCATTAAGAGATGGTGCACTGAGGTGGGAAGAGCACTGGACAGAGAGTCACAGTGCAGCCCTGACTCGCTGTGTGGCCTTATCAAGTCACTTCCCGTCTCTGGGCCTCCATCCTCATTTGTAGGAAGGGGGTATTGAATGGATGAATGCTAAGGGCCATGAGTTTGTGACTTTAACATTCTGTGGCCCCAACACCCCACTCCCCCTCAGTTCTTGTGACACCTTGTCTGTGGGCCAGAGTGGCCTGGGTTCAAATCCCACCTCTGACACCTTTTTGACCTTGGGCAGGTGCCCCCCCACCCCCTGTTCTCTAAGCCATAATATTCTTATCTGTAAAATAGGAATAAGAATAGCATCCTCCTAGGGTCATTGTGGAAAACAAATGCAATTGTATTATCAAGTGCTTGGCCCAGGGCTGGCATGTAGCAAGGGCTCAGTAAGTATGAGTCCTTCCCTTCCCCCACATTCCCGCATACCTGCCAGCTGTCAAGAGGCTTTGCTATCTGTGTATGGTCAGGTGTGTGTCAAGGGAAATTTTCCTGGTAACTTGGCCAGAGCTCAGCTCTTTGCAGAACACCTTACACAGGATCTAATCCCAGGGTAATAAATCGATCCCAGTCACAGCCTAACTGCGGGCTCCTTGCACCAGGCACATCTCCCAGCCTTGGGTTTTGTTCAGCCATGAAGGCTTTCTTTGAGCAGCCAGGCTGTGCCAGTTCAGCCCAGCTGGGAATTTAGCTTTGAAGCCAAGTTCAGAACTGGAGCCGCCCTCCCGCCAGGGTTTGTAGGGCAAAGGGAGGGGGTTGATTCCTTCAGAAAGAAGGAAACTTGGTCTATTGAAATAACCTGAAAATAGACTTGTTTTGACTCCCAGAGCTGTGTCAATAAAGAAACAGCTGGATCCAGGCCAACACCTGGATCCCTCAAGTATGTCTTGAAATGAAGGAAACTCTTAAGTATTGTCTGGAAATCTATTGTCAGAAAGAAACACATTACCCAGAGGGTCTGTTCTGATAATACCAGTAATGCCAGATCAGGGAATGTGTAAAACAGAGCCCAGCTCTGCCACTTACCAGCCGTGTGATCCTGGGCAAGTTATTTAACTTCTCTGGGCCGCAGTTTCCCCAGCTACAAATGGGGATAATAATAGCACCCTCTTCATAGGGTTCTTGTGGGGCTCAAATGAGTTTGTACACATAAAGCGCTTCGAGCAGGACTTGCACAGAGTTACTAGTTGTTAAATACCAACATTTGCTATAGTACTGTTATCATTGCTGTTATTACTGCGTGGGCCATTTCCTCAGAATAATACTCCACAAGTGTCATTTTTTAACTCAATTTTAGGGACTTTGGCAACCTCTCAGATTCTATCTATGGTCTCTGGAGGGGTCTGAGACGCAGGGAAAGCATGGGGACTGGTCAGCCAAGGGACCTGGTTCTCTGTTTGATTCTGCTGCTAAGTCCCTGTGTGGCCCTGGGCACGTTGCTTTCCCTGTCCGGACACCAGCACCAGTTTTTTCACCTGTACAAGTAGAGTATCGAGTTGTATGTAGGTTTCTTTTAACTCTAAGGTTTTGTGTTTCTGCAAGGTGAGCTTCTCACTCAGCACCCCAAGGCGATCCTTTGCAACTGGAGTTCAGGGTGTGATGTACCACCTTTCTGTTCTTGGGTCCCCATCTGAGCCCTGAGGCCATCCAAGCTTCCCCTACTTGTTTGGTGACTTCACTTCTCTGTGCCTCAGTTTCTTCATCTCTAGCACAGGGACAGTGGTAGTATCTCCATCATAGGGCTGTCAAGAGGGTTAAATTAATTAATACATATCAAAGGCTTGGAAGAGCACCTGACACATAGTAAACGTTAGCAAATGCGGTGCTGGACGTTGATACTGATCCCATCATAATAACATGGTCAACATCTAACCTTTATTGAGCGCTCTCTAGATGCAGGTACAAGATACCATCTCATTGGGTTCTCATTACAATCCCCTGAGGCTTTTGCCGAGGAAGAAACAGAATGTCAGAAGGGTGACGTAATTCACCCGAGGCCACCCAGCTGGTCAGTGGCACCATCTGATTCAACCTCCTTATCCAGTCTGAACATTGCTTACTGCGTCCCTCAAGGCATGGTTGAGAATCCGAGGTTTCATTCTTAATTCTGAGGAAGGCGGTGAAGATAATTCTTTTATGGGGCTTTCTGAGCTTTTACTAGAAATGTGTCTCTAGACTCCCCAGAGATAAGCACTCCCTCTCTATCTACTGGAGAAGGTGATTTAAAAAAAAGAAAAGGGTGGTGGTGAGGGCAGTAAAGGTAAGGAACACCCTCTCATGGGAGATAAGGTGGCAGTGAGGGAAATTTCTTTGTGGACCCATGAGATAAGCAGTGCAGGTGTCTCTGCTCTTCTCAAGGTATCTGTGACCTCTGCCTGGGATTTGGCCCAAATCTGCATTTTGGCTTCAGCCTCTGTCTTTGGGAAGCTGACATGGAATGTCAGCTCAAGGTCACTTCTGACATCCCAGGTCAGGAGTGTGGCCAGAGGCTATGTGATGACATAGATTGCCATGGTGCCTAGTCAGCAGGCAAAGTCAGTAATAGGAACAGGGCTTCACTTGGATTTAGTGTCGTGCTCTGAATTCTCACTTCCCAGTATAGGAAGCATCATAGATGTAACTCAGAGCCAGCCTCTCCTCTTGTGCTTTAGAGGTTGAAATTCAATCAGACAACTGAAGTTATTGCAGGAGTGAAATGCTGTGATAATTAATGATTAACGGGAAAGCTGTTCGTTTTGTGTACAAAACAGTTACTAAGAGCGTTCTAGTACTTAAATAAGGAAATCGATTGGCAGTTCAGGTGTACATTAAGAGAGAGTGCCTTAGCTAAATAACTTTTAGGGAAAATATTATATTCTTTTTTTTTTTGTAAACATTCAAATAATAATACAAAGCAGGGACTTCCTGGTGGCGCAGTGGTTAAGAATCCACCTGCCAATGCAGGGGACACGGGTTTGCAGCCCTGGTCCAGGAAGATCCCACATGCTGCAGATCAACTAAGCCCGTGCGCCACAACTACTGAGCCTGTGCTCTAGAGCCCGCGAGCCACAACTACTGAGCCCACGTGCCACAGCTACTGAAGCCCGTGCGCCTAGAGCCCGTGCTCCACGACAAGAGAAGCCACCGCAATGAGAAGCCCGCGCACCGCAACAAAGAGTAGCCCCCGCTCACCACAACTAGAGAAAGCCCGCGTGCAGCAACAAAGACCCAACACAGCCCCCCCAAAATTTTTTTTAATAATAATAATAATACAAAGCAGAATACTAGAGATTAGAGTATATCATCAATCCAATCTTTATAAAATTGATCTGATATACTAGCATTTATACATTTAAATAAAACAGCTTCAAGAACGATATTTACTCTTTAGTTATTTTATTCCCTTTAGGCTATGAGTTTCCCCCTCCATAAACTCAGCTAAAAGTGATGACTGTCTAGTATCCCAGATGTGCAGGTGTCACTGCAGGAACAATCTAGAAGCAGACTGTGCTAAGAAATGTCAAGGGCACCCACTCAAGAATTTGACTATGTTCTTAATAATAAATCTGTACTAATCATGAAAATGTTGTAACATCCTAGATTTGTTCTACTATCCCAGAAATTTCATTCTTGATGGTGATTGGCTAAATAAATATTTTATTTAGCCAAAATGTATGTGCCCCCTGGTTTTCATAGAAATGGACAGTGAGTAGGAGAAAAGATCACTGCAGCAAGATGTTCACGTCCAATTCTTGCTGTGGAATGAGTAGGTTCTTTTCAAAAAACGTCTTCTGAGCCCCATCCAGGTGCCAATCCCAGGGCCAGCTGCTGAGGGTGGAACACAGGAAAGGCTTTATCTGTGTCCCAAGGTTCAGCCCTGTGATTCTCAAACTTGAGATAATTGGAGAGCTTGTTACAGGTGGTTTCCTCACCCAGGAAGTAGTGCTTTTAACAGCTACCCCCTGGGGATTCTGATGCAGTTGATCCAAAGCCCACCCTTTGAAAACTCAATGGTCTAGAATTCCAGGCTAATACCGTACAGAGGGTTAGGGAGGCCTGGAGTCGGAGCACGTAGGCAACCATGAGGCTCAGGCAGGCGAGGAGGTGACTCTGGAACGATGAGTAATGTTTAGCCAGGCAAAGGAAGGTGAGAAGGTCCTTGGCAGCCGAGGGCCAGCAGGAACACAGGACTGAGGCGTGGGCAGTGTGCCTGCAGGCAGTTCAGTGTTTCTGGAGGGTAGAGTGTAAGTTAGGAATTGATGAACGATGAGGCTGTGCATAAGGCAGGGACCGGGTCACGGGGGGGCCTGAGTGTCCTGCTGGAGAGGTGACTCTATCCTCAAGGCAGAGGGAGGACCAGGATGGAGGGGGGGCAGACAGTTGTGACTGTACTTTCCTGCTTGACACTGGTCACGCGGTGGTGCTTGCATCATCCTCCCATTTCCAGTCCCTAAGTGAGAAAATTGAGGCTCAGAAAAATGAGGGGAGCCAGCGAGATCACGGCGGAGCTGGGCGCAAAGACCTCACCCCGAATTTGCAGACTATTTCCGAGGCAGTGTTTGTCGAACGATTTGCTGCTGGTTCACGGAGCCAGCTGCTCGTAGCCCCTGTGCGTTCCTCTTGTACGCCCTCAGCAGCTGGAATTTCTCCTCAGGCCTTGAACTCTGCTGAAAGCAACTAATTTCCAGCCTTCCTGTTTGCCCCGATTGGTACTAGCAATTAAGGGCCAAAGTATATCTCCAGCCTGTGGAGGAAATTGTCATAACCATGGAAGGAATGATGATAGCAGTAAACATACTGAACGACTACAGTATGCCAGTCACCATAGGTTTAGCCCTCCTAGTACCCCTGGAAATTCAGCGCTATTATCATTCCCACTTCACGGATGAGGAAACTCAGGACAAGTCATTTGTACATAGTCCCAAGGTTAGTAACTGGCCCTGTCCAGCAGGATAGCCTAGGTTTTGCTGCGGTAACAAATGACCTCCACGTCTCGATGGCTTACAGCAACAAAAGTGCATTTCTTGCAAGTTGGCTGTGGCTTTAGTCCACACTTTCTTGGTTCTGGGTCCCAGTTGACAGGGTGACCTCTATTGGGAGTGTTGCTGGTCTCGGGGCAGAGCAAAAGGAGACTTACCAGGCGCTGCACTGGCTCATAAAGATTTTGCCAGAAGTGACTCATATCCTTTCCAGCTGCTGGCTAAAGCAGATCATGGAACCACTCAGCTCAACAGGGCAGAGATGTGTAATTGTTCCATAGGGAGGACCAGTGCAGGAGGGATAACTGAACACCTGGAGGATTGTCATGCACCACCACAGCAGAGGGAGGATTCAAGCCTAGTTTACAGGATTTGAAACCTGACACCAGAACCCATGCCCTTCATCGCCATCCTGCCTTCCACTTTGCTAAATGCACGTGGTTCGGCCTCTTCCCGCACATCCGAGGGCGTGAATTTCAGTCATGAGAAACCAGCACCTGTGATCATGGAGAATTGGTTTCCGCTCAGTAGTGAAGCAACCGAGAAGTGCTGTGCTGTACCCCCAGGAGGTGCTTAGGGGAAAGTTGGTTGAGGTGAGCGGGCAGACAACCAAAAAGCATAGCGGGTCTCCGAAAGCCCATCTCAAATCCAACTTCTTTTCACTGACCGGAGGATGAACTGTTTCTTGCTATCATGTATGGTTCAGGAGGCAAGAGATGCGAAGGAAACGGCTCCGGTTGAGTACTGCGTTGTTCTGCTCTCCGACACACAGAAGTTCCAGCCTGCTGTCCATTCTCCATAAAAGTTTGTTGATCAAAGGGATGAAGAAGGAATTAATTTAAGCTTTACAAACCAACAGCCTTATGAAGGAGATGTTATCATCCCCATTTTTACAAAAGGGAGAACTGAGTTTTCAGGGAGATGGAGTTTCATGGCAACAGCCACTGTCTCGGTCCCCGCTCGCAGGGCCAACTGTCAAGCTCTGCGCTTGACAGACATTGTTTTTGCTGATCCCCACTGCCACTCAGGAGGACGGTACTCTTATCCGTGACCTCGTCTGTGATATGGAGACAATAATAAAACTGCTTCTAGGATAAGATAAACCATTCGAAGTGCAAAGCACAGTGGCAGGCATGTTGGAAGTCCTCTATAAACATTAACCCTTCTTTTATCATCATCGTTGTCGGCCATCGCTCTGTAAGTTGAGTTGTTGTCCAAACTCCAAGTTCAGTTCAGAGTTCCCACTGGTAGTGACCGCACTGCCCCACCCTTGTCTCCCATCCTTCTCCTTATTGCCCCAGAGCACCGGGGGCCAGATGTTGGACAGGAAAGTTGGGTTTAGTGACTCTCCTGGGCCATTCTCAGGATTCACCTGACCCCAGTTTACTCCATATGCTTCCCTTTTGCTACATTTTGTCACTTTCAAATTTCAAGTCTGAAGGGTTCTAGCTATTGCCCCAAGGCCAAGGTCTCCAGTACAGACATTTCTCTAACCCCTCTTTGAAAAGATAAATCTGAAGGAAATTGGTTCCCAAATTCCTTCCAGAGGGAGGTGGGCTCAGATGGCGGAGTGGGGGAAGGGGAAGGAAGGAGTGAGGTGATGATGTCTGTGACTCTATCTGGTACTCATTCTGGGTCCATCTGTATAAAGATAGTTTTGTGCTTCTTTTGCCACTATTATTATTATTTTTTTGTCTTTTCATTATTCAAATTGCAACCCTGTTAGGATGGATCCGTTGGGTAAGTAGCACATCCCACGTACTGGGATTCCCCAGCTGGGTTTTAGAATGTTTTCAGCTTTTTAAAACCATAGATGGGTCCAAGGTAACCTTGGTACCTCGCTCTGCATGACAGAGCACCCAGCACTGATCCCAGTTTGGGGCTTGGTGAGGCGGGGAGGTGTCAAGGGATCCCAGACACAGCCAGTCCCAGAGAGCAACCTCTCCCCCCCCCCCCCCCCCCCCGAACGGCCGAGGCATCCCGGAAGAAGAAAGAAAACCGGAGGAAGCGGAAGCGCTATCTCCTGATAGGCCTGGCGACGCTGGGAGGCGGGACAGTGATCGGTAAGATGAGATGGTGGCACTGGCCCGGGCAGCACGGAGTGAGGGATGATGCCAGGCTGGGAACAAGAGTGGGGAGTGCGGGGGGATCAGCTGGGAGCCCACCCCGCCTCGCATGCGCGTAGTAGATGTGCTCACTAGTATTGTCCGTGAGAGGCAGGGGGAGGGAGGCCGGCGGAGGAAGAGCGCAGCAGGCCCCGTCCGCACTCCCACCTCTACCCACCACGGGCCGCTTTCCTTGCAGGCGTGACCGGGGGTCTGGCTGCCCCTCTTGTTGCTGCCGGAGCCGCAACAATCATTGGCAGTGCCGGGGCAGCGGCTCTGGGCTCAGCGGCCGGCATAGCTGTCATGACCTCGCTGTTCGGTGCAGCTGGAGCTGGCCTGACAGGTAAGGTTCCAAAGGAGTGGTGGCCCAGATTCTCACCAGTGAGGGCTCCCTGGGAGACGGAGGAAGAGGACATGGCTTTTCTCACTCTGAGTCCTAGCACTGCCAGAACTTATAGCGAGCTTCCCAGAGAACTGGGTGGATGGCTTGGCATGGCTCGGGAGAAGGCTGAGTTTGAGAAACTGCACCTGGTGTAGACTTCTTAGAAAGGGTCTGATTGGACCTGCTTGTCACCATCTAAGAAGTTTCCAGGCAGGCTGCCTCAGAGACGGTTGAGCTTCTTCTTGTAAGAGGACACATGGCTACGCCTCATTTACCAGCATCCCGTGGGGGAGTGTTTCCAAATCATATGTGTCAGTAGCTCCCCAGTCACACAGAGTTTCCTGTTAAGTGGCATGTTGCTTCCCACATTGAGAATCTTGGTCAGCTCAAACCACTTTCACTGAGAGGAGTGTGTTACACTCCTGAAGTTCGTGGGCGGGAAAAAGATGTAGTACCCATTGAATCAGGCCAGAGCGGTGGTTATGAGCTTGGGCTCTGAGTTTCAACCCCAGCTCTGCCAGTTGGGGGCTAGCCAGCCTTTGGAAACCTGTTACCTTCATCTGTAGTCAGGACGGTAATGGCACCGACCTTAATGAGTTCAAAAACGAGAGGTTTGTCAAGGGACAGGGCACACGGTTGGCAGTCACTGTGAGTGTGTGAGTACACAGAGCCACTCTAACATTCCCCAGGGTCCCCAGTGACCCCCATTCTCACTTTTGTATCTGGGTCTTTAGGATACAAGATGAAGAAGCGTGTCGGGGCCATTGAAGAGTTCACGTTTCTGCCTCTGACAGAAGGCAGGCAGCTACACATCACCATCGCCATCACGGGATGGCTGGCATCTGGCAAATACCGTGAGGACCAGGGGCAGAAAAGGATGCAGAAGCGGGTGGATGTTGGCTGAGCTGGGTCTGTTGCTGTGGGCCAGACCCTGGCCTAGGCTCTTGCCTGTGTATGTCTTTAGGGGGTGGGTAGGGGGGACCTGTTCTTCAGAGGAGGAAACTGAGACTCGGAGAGGTGAGATGACTTTATCCCACATCTGTCTTCCCATCCACCCATCCATCCAACTATGCATCCATCTATCCATCTACCATTATCCATCCATCCATCCATCCATTCACCCATGCATCCACCTATCTATCCATCCATCCATCCGTCCATTCACCCATGCATCCACCTATCTATCCATCCATTCACCCATTTAACCACCCACCTACCCACCCATCAACCCATCCTTTCCACAGAGTTTATAGAGCATGTGCCAGACACTGAGCCAGGTCCTAGGAATTCAGTGGTGAGCAGCACAGTCATGGCCTCTGCTCCCATGGAACATATGGTCCAAGGCAGAAGACAGATCATTGAGCAAGTAATTACAGGGAAGCTTTATGGAAGGCACGATAGGGGAAGCACAGAGAGCTTCTGAGGAGTGAGGGAAAAGTTATTGGAGGAAGTGGCATTTAGGCTAAGGACTGGCTGGGAAGTAGCCAGAGAAGGAAGGAGAAAGAAGTGAATACCAAGCAAAAGGGCAGCATGTAGAAAGGCCTAGTGGTGCAAGAGAAGCACAGGATGGCTTGAGCAAGGAGCTAGAAGACAGGAGTGTGGGTGACGCCGGATCACACAGGAGCATGTGAGCTGTGGCGAGGAGTTTGAGTTTATCCTCAGAGCAAGTGGAAAATAGCAAAGGAGTTTCAACACACAGGTGAGAAATCAGTACATCTTGGCTGTGTGACCTCAAGCAATTTACTTCACCTCTCTGTGCCTTGGCTGCTTCATTTGTAAAGTAGAGCAAATTATCCTTGCCTTTCAGGGCACTTACAAAGATTAAATTAAACGAGGTAACGTGTGGAAAGCACCTGGTTTTTAGTGACATTCCACAAACGTTATTTCCCTTTACTGCTCTAATTTGAACGTGTGTGTTTTGGGGGGATTCTAACCAGGGTGGCACTGAGGAATAAGGTCATGGTCCACTTACTGTTGGCTCACTTTTGCAAGTGCCCAGTGTGAGGCTCAGCAAGCAGGTCGTCAATCAGAGAGAGAACAGGGTGGGCCGGGGAGTCTGGAGCGTCCTGACCAAATACACAAGCTCAGAGCCTCCTGGGTTCCCAAATTGCTGGGATCCGAGGGCAGAAGCCACAGCTTTTCTAAACAGCACAGGAGGAAGCAGGTGAGAAAATGCCCAGGCTCTGTTGAGAGGCATTACTGGGCGCCAGAGTCTTATTGGTATGTGCGCACCAGGGCCAGTCCCCAAACAGGGGACTCTCGAACAGTGACTGAGCACCTAGCACCATGAGTCAGGCATTTCACCCACACACTAGGAGCTTGATGTACGTTACCTCGAGTGACCCTCACATCCATGCTCTGAGGTGAGGGCTGTTCTTATCCTGATCGGGACGAAGAGGAAACCTAGAGGGAGCACATGGCAGACAGGTGGCACATGCAGGATTCGAACCCAGGTCTCCTGACCCAGAGTTCACGGGTTTCTCTTCATTTGTTTCATGATACCATCCATGCTACAGAAAGACTGAGACAGGAAGGAAGGAGCAAGAGTCTAAGTGAAGGAATTTGCAGTTCTGACCAGTGTGGAAAGCAAAGCCCTTATGGTTGTTTTACCCACCCCCTTGCTGGGCTGGCCCCAGGGCAAAATAAAGTTTTTTTGGGGGGGGGGGGGGGGGGGGGGGGGGGGGGGGGGCCATTATCTTGCAATATGCTCCCTAGGCAGAGGCGGTGGTTACAAGAAATGTAACCAAGGTAGATGAATGAAGTTCAGGAGGGAAATGAGTCACCTTGTCCTGCCTCCTTGATGGCCAGGAAAGAAGTCTCGTGTCATCACAGGCTTGCTTCTGTGTGTGATGGGAATATATGGGCTTTCTTGGGCCCGCCCCTTTATTAAATAGGATTGTTTGTAATCATGATTATGGCTTTGTAGCTCACCACTAAGCCAGGCATTTTTGCATGCATTGGCTCACTTAGTCCCTCACTTCAAGCCACGGATGTGGGCATCATTATCACCCCCCTTTTACAGATGAGGAAACCGAGGCTGATAAGGGCTGCCCAGGGTCGCCTCGCTAGTCAGGAACTGGGGCACGACTCACCCCCATTCTGTCTGGCTCCATAGCCCATGTTCTTGGCCACAGGGTGATAGAATGCAGTACTGCACTTTACAGTTTACATAATGCTTTTCGTGCAGCCTCTCACGTGATCCCCACAACACCTGTGAGTCAGATGCCATCATTCCATTTTAACAGGTGTAGAAACTGAGGCTCAGAAGGGCAGCGTGCCTTGCTTGTGAGTCTTGCAACCATAAAGCTGCCGAGCTGGGTCCAGAGCCCACCACACACACACACATACACACACACACACACACACACACACACAAACACAATATCTGTGCCCACATCCTGTCTCGGGCTGGCCGTCTCCTCCTCCATAACTAGAGACAGTTAATCCCTGAGCTGCTGCAGACCTGTGACAGACTCTCTGCAGAGCGGGGAGCAGCCCCTCAGTGGTCTGCATGTCAGCAGAGCACCCTCGGGTAGGGACGAGGCCTTCGGGTCGGGCAGGTCGAGGCATGTGGCTGAGCCAGAACCCGAAGCCTCTGGGAAGCTGGCTCCACTGTTCATTCATTCATCCTGTTTTCATGAGGCTTTGGGAATCGAGTGCTTGGCAGACAGACTGCAGGACAGACGTGCACTAAACAGATGACACAGAAATAAATGGATAATTGCAGACTGTGACGAGAACTCAGGACGCAAAAGTGCAAGGTGCATTAGATCCCCCTTGTCCCCGGGGATAAGGCGAGTGAGCTGGAAGCTCAGAGACAAGTAAGTGTGGAAGGTCACTCGGACCATGGGCAGAAATGCACGGGGCCCCTCGATGCTCCCACGGCCCAGAAATGAGTGACTACATGATGTTTGCATGGCCCTCTCGCTCCCCAGGCTGAGAGCACTTTATCTGGATGGCTCAGTCTCCTCAGCTATAAAATGAGGCTAATTGTGGGGCCCCATTTCAGAGGCTGTGTTGAGGTAAATCAGAGAGTGCACGGGAAATCCCTCAGCACAGAGCTGCCCAGCACTTAGTACTTGCTCACTAAACGTTTCCTACGATGATGGTGTCTGTATCCTCAGGGTCAAGCGCCTGGCCTGGCATAGTCTAGGTGCTCAGTTAAGGTTTGTGGTATGAATGAATGAATGAACGAGTGAACGAACAAGATCAAAAGCATGTGTTTCTGGAGGGTAACCTGATGCATGATGAGGCTGTGAAGGAGGCAGGGGCCAGGTCACAGGGGGCCTGAGAGTCCTGCTGGAGAGGTGACAACATCCTCAAGGCAGAGGAAGGACTAGGAGGGAGGGAGAGAGGGAGGCAGACAGTCATGGTTTTACTTTCCTGCCTGACGTTGGTCACGTGGTCAGTACTGTCGTCATCCTCGCATTTCCAGTCCCTAAGTGAGAAAATTGAGGCTCGGAAAAATCGGGTGAGCCAGCAAGCTCATGGCAGAGCTGGGCTCAAACCCCTCTGCTCCAGATTTGCAGACTATTTCCCAGGCAGTGTTTGTTGACTGAGATGCAGCCGGTTCAGGGAGCAAGCTGCTCGTGGCCCCGTGTGTTCCTCTTGTGTGCTCTTAGCCTCCTCGATGCCGGAATTGCTGCAGAGTGAGAGAAAATAACACTTTACACACACAGTAGTTGGAGTACTTAGTTCTTATAACCTACTCTATGAAAGGAGGTAAATACTAGTCTCCCGACTTGACAGCTAGGCAAAGTGAGGCTTAGCGCGGGATAGCGACCCAGGGTGCCCGCTGTCGCCCAACTGCTGATGAATGCAGGAGCTGGGTCTCGAACCCCAGTCTGCTGTCTCACAGCGCGGCCCTGTGCTCTGTCTGGGAGCGCGTCTGCTCTGCTGTCAGCTGCCGTTCAGTGGCGGGGGTGGGCCTCTTGTCTCCCCGCAAGGGTGAGTGGGCCCCTGTCGCCGACTGTCTGGGAAAGGGTGAGAGGCCTCCTCTGTCACAGGAGAGACCCCACCTACCTGTGCTCTCCCCAGGCACCTTCAGCGCCCCATGGGCTGCCCTGGCCCACAGCCGTGAGCAGTACTGTCTGGCTTGGGAGGCCACGTACCTGATGGAGCTTGGCAACGCCCTGGAGACCATTCTCAGTGGTCTTGCCAACATGGTGGCCCAGGAGGCCCTAAAATACACAGTGTTGTCTGGTAAGCCTCCCCTCACCCCCACCAGCAGCATTCCCACCACTCCCAAGCCACACTGGCTCTGTACCTTTGCATGCCTGAGGCCCCCAGTGAGCCAGGCACAGTGCTGGTCTCCAAGAACACAGAGAGGCAAAGTTTATGGTCCTTATAGGGAGGAGACAGAGAAACAGCCCATCACATTATCACATAGTGTGTCAGTTAGCAATTGCTGCATAACAAACAACCCCATAACCCAGTGACTTAAAATAACAACCGTTTATCACAGTAGCTCAGAAGTGTTGAGGCTTCATTTGGCTGACCTTTGCTGGGCCTGCTTATGCATCTGTGGGTCAGCTGACTGTCCACTGATCTAGGCCAGCCTTGCCTGGGGCAACCAGGGCAACTCGGCTCTGCTCCATTTGTCTCTCCTCCCCGTCCTGGGATCGCAGGCTATCCCACACCCACAACAGAAGTGCAGTAGAGGCACAAGTCCATTTCAAGCCTCGCATCCAGTAACATCTCATTGGCCAAAGCAAGTCACATGATTGAGCCTGGAGTGGATGAGCAGGGCAGGAGCAGGGGGCATTGCAGAGTTATGAGGCCAAGTGGGAGGATACAGGGTGGAGTGACAAATTGGGGCCATCTCTGGAATCTCACACATGGCAGATACTTAAACATAAGGGATCTAGGCCATGTATCAGAAATGCGTGAGCTTCAGTTTTCTTCTGTACCACTTAGCAGTTTGACCACACATGGAAAACTTACAGATTCCAGGTTAGAGACTCTGGATGTATTCACTCAGGCATCCATTAGCCAGCCAATCACTTCCCTAGAAGGACCCCCCTCTCCGCCCCTGCCACCACGGCCTTCATCACCGATATCCCTCCTCCCCAGGCCTTGTGGCTGCCCTGACCTGGCCAGCCTCACTCCTCAGTGTTGCCAATGTCATCGACAACCCCTGGGGTGTGTGTCTCCACCGATCAGCAGAGGTTGGCAAGCACCTGGCCCACATTCTGCTCTCCCGGCAGCAGGTACCTGGGAATAGCTGGGGTGGGGAGCGGGGGGAGCGGGCAGGGGGCGAGGAAGCAGGGAAGCATGGGGGCTGACTTGTGCACAGACGTCGTACCTGAGACAAGCCCACGTGGGGGTAGCCCAGTGGCTTTGGGGGGGTGGGGGGTGGTCGTCATTGCTCCTCCAGTTCAAGTCATAAAAGCACCCTAGGGGGACTTCCCTGGCGGTCCAGTGGTTAAGACTCCATGCTTCCACTGCAGGGGCCACGGGTTCGATCCCTGGTCAGGGAACTAAGGTCCCACAAGCAGCGCAGCGTGGCCAAAAAGATAAAAAGTGTCCTAGGATGGACCAGTAAGAATTGCAGACCGTGCATCTCTAGCAAGCAATCAGGTGAAAGCTAACAGGCCTCTGCAGGTGTGGACAAGGCCAGCTCTTCCTTTCCCGAAGTATAGAGCCACCCTCCGAGCAGATCTCCAGTGGCCCAAATACCACGTAAAACAGTTAGGGTTCCATCCACATTCCAGACAGTCCGAGGCAGGAAAGTAGAAGTGAAGGGCCTTTCACATCCTTTGGCCGAGACTCAGCCCTGCAGCTATCCCTGGCTACAGGGCAGTTGGAGAAACTTCATTTTTGGCTGGGTAGCTGTGGGCCCAGAAAAACTCAGGAGTTCTGTTACCAAGGACAGAGGGAGAATGGGTATAGGGTGATGACTGGTAGCCTTTGCCACAGAGTTCCTGCAGAATTGGAATACTGTTTAATGGAGGGTCTTCCATGGCAGTAGATGGAGGTGGGGGGGAGGGGGGGGAGGGTGGGCACATATACCGGCCCAAAAGCAAGGGAAAGGAATGGAGTACTGAGACCAGCTGGACCTTTGGAACCATCTGCCCTCTCCCTCCACGTAGAAGTTGTACCCATATACCTCTCATGACTTTCTTTTTCAAGTTGCTTTTCCTACAAGTTCTTTTTTTTTTTTTTTTTTTTTGTGGTAAGGCGGGCGTCTCACTGTCGTGGCCTCTCCCATTGCGGAGCACAGGCTCCGGACACGCAGGCTCAGCGGCCATGGCTCATGGGCCTAGCCGCTCCGTGGCATGTGGAATCTTCCCGGACCAGGGCACGAACCCGTGTCCCCTGCATCGGCAGGCGGACTCTCAACCACTGCACCACCAGGGAAGCCCCTCCTACAAGTTCTTGAGTCAGAAAATTCCTCTTCGCATCTAACTTACAACCTCCTCTTACAGCATAAGGCCAATATTTCATCTCCCCACTTTCTATCTAGGAACAGAACAGTTGTGTCCCCCCCCATGTGACTCTTTGCCTTTTTCCCCCATCACACCCGGGGTACCTCCTGCCTCCTCTCTCGGCTCCAGAAGGGCCCCGCTTCACTGCAGTCATTTGCCACAGGTAGATGGGGAAGGAGCGACGGCCACTGGGTAGTGGTTTGAGATAAAACCAGGGAATTAACCCAGCCAGATGCTGCCTGTCAACCTGGGAAGAAGCCGGTTCCTGAGCAGGTGCCCTCCTGCATAAATGAGGACCCAGACTCTCCTGATGGAGACATCAGAGCCTGGGGCCGGGAATAGCACAGGCGGGATTCATTAAGCGGGAGGCAGGTGCTGGGAAGTGTGCAAGGGCCACCATCATCGGGGCTGATGTTTTTCTAGAACTGGCTGTGCACCATGCCCCCAACACCTGTGTCCTTTCTCCCCCAGGGCCAGCGGCCTGTCACCTTGATTGGCTTCAGCCTGGGAGCCAGAGTCATCTACTTCTGTCTGCAAGAGATGGCTCAGGAGAAAGGTAAGGCTGGCCCATTGTCACAGGTGAAAACACTTCCAGAGTCCATCCCCCAGGCCAGAGGTTCTGCACTAGAGGTCACGAGTCTTGTGACCATGTTCCCAGATCTTAGAGTTTAAAACAGCTTGAAAAAGAAAAAACAGTCATTTGGAAAATTGTTTATTTCTTCCGTACGTAAATTAGAGTGGGCGTGAGACAGTCTTATAAAAACGGCCTTTGCGTTCTGATGCGGGTTCTTGAGTGGGAGGGGAGTGGAAGAGTCCGAAATTGGGGTGTTGGCAGGGCCGCGCTCCCTCTGAAGGCTCTAGCGGAGAGCCGCGCCTCTTCCAGCTTCTGGTGGTGGCCGGCAGTCCTAGGCTTGCAGACGCCACATTCCATCCTGCCTCGTCTTCACATCACCTTCTCCTTTGTGTCATCTCTTCTCACCTAAGGACAGTGTCAGTGGCTTTAGGGCCCGCTCAAATCCAGGATGACCTCATCTCAGGATCCCTCCCTAATTACATTTGTGTGATTTAATTACATCTGCAAAGACGCCTTTTCCAACACCTGTTACCAAGGACAGAGGGAGAATGGGTGTAGGGTGATGACTGGTAGCCTTTGCCACAGAGTTCCTGCAGAAGTGGAATACTGTTTAATGAAGGGTCTTTTCCAAGTAAGGTCTCACTCACAGGTTCTGAATGGACACATCTTTTGAGGGGGCCACCATTCAACCCACTACAGACACCTTTGGGAGTGTGTCATGCCATCCGAACACATACTTTCAGTGTTGATGCAACGGAAAGCTTGAGGGCCCCTACCCTGGTCTCGGGTCGGTGAGGCCTCCAGGACTGAAGGCCGGTTTGGGGCAGATCTGTCACCAGGGGCTGCCATAGCAAGGGGTTAGGGGGGTGAGGTGCAGAGCTCAGGGCACTTGGGGTGGTCTACCGTGCGTGGGACCCGGGCTAACCTCTCTCCTGGTGTAGCACAGCAGCAGCAGAGAGAATTCCTTCTCTGGATGGGGGGAAGTAGCAAAGAATTTTCAGCAGTCTTTAACGCACATTTTGCTGGTCCAAGCAAGTGACAGCCAAGCCCTAGGCCAGTGGGGTGGGCAGTCCCCGCTGCCCCTTACGCTCCTTCTGTCCACAGCGGAGGACGAGGGGAGCAGATGTTTGCCAAATGGTGATCCAGACTCTGACTTGGGGATAAAGGAGGGCATGGGCTTTGCAGGCAGCCGAGACCTGGGTCTGAGTCCTACCTCTGCTCACCTGGGGAGCCTGGGTTGGGTAAGGACTCAGCCTCCCTGGACGTCGGTCTCTCCATTTGCAACAGGAGGTGCTTGTCACCTCTGGGCAGTGTCAAAGGCCAGAGAGCATGGAGGTCAGGCAGCCGGCCCAGTGCTGGGTCCTGGTCAACACATCCTGTAGCGGCTTTTAGGCTGAAGTATCTCTGCTGGTGTTGGGGGTAGCTGCACTCGCCCCCTGCGCTCTAAAGCTGTTGCCGCCAGGGAGGCCCCTGGAAAGTTGTCACGCTCTGCGCTGTCATCGTTTTGCTCCTTTCCTGGTCATCCTTCCCCCAGTCCACGCAGCAGACCCATCTGCCAGGCTCCTTATCACCTGGATGACGTGGTCTGGGGGACAAAGGCGTGTCTTTGGCTCCAGTTAGCATAAATTACATGTTAACTTCAGATCATTAATACAAGCCAAGTCTCCAATTCCCCTCCTGAACGAGTTAATTACCATTGATCATTTGGACACGGCCATTGGAATTGAGGTCGCCCTTCAGCTGCCTCCAGCAAGTGAGGCCGGAAACTGATGGGAGGGAGATGTTCCTGCCCTCCGCCTTTGGCGGGGTGGTTCTCAAAGCAGCTTCCTTCCCGCCTCTTTCCTGGCCACTGCTCCCTCCCCTGGCTCTTCATAGCCCACCACTGAGAACTGGGGCTTTGGTATCAGGTAGACCTGGATCTGGGTCCCAGCTTCATCACTGACGAGCTGTGGCACCTTGGGCAAGTCACTTAACCTCTCTGAGCCTCAGCTTCCTCATCTGAACGTGGGACTTAGTACACTTACCTCGAAGGCTCTTCAACAGATTAAAACGAGACGATGAATGTGAAAGCACCTGCTGCAATTTGGGTTCACTCAGTAAACGCTTCTTCCTCTAATCTGAGGACGTACTGTGCACGGGGAACTATGGCGAGTGTCGTGTAGATGGAGACGCTTGTCATCTTGTGTCTACTTTCTGGCGCACACGTTAGATGGTGAATTCCAGGTAGGCGGGATCTGCCTGTGCCCCACCATCTCTCTGGCACATGGCACATTCTGAGAGCTCGGGAAGGTGGGTGGACTTGACTTTGGGCTGACAGGCTCAAGAGCCCGGTGCAGACTCCCCACGTGCCGGGCCGTGCACTATGCAGGATCTCGGTCTCCCGGCAACCCCCTGGGAGGTTGTTACTCTCCCTGCTTCTGGGATGAGAAACTGAATGAGGCTGCGAGGGAAAGCCAGGCGGATCCTAAGAGCCAGAGCCGGGATTCGACGCCAGGGTGTCTGGCTCCAGGGCCCTCGCTGGTAACAACTGTGCTATACTTTGCGGAGGACCCAGACCTTGAACGTGGGTGGGGCTCCTCCAGGGGATCTAGAGGGAGGGGAATTCCAGAAAGTCCGGCCAGCAGGGAAGAGGAAGGGCTCTCAGAGTGTCTGAAAACGTTGAGTCTAGTTTTTCTGCAGCCTGTGAGAGGGGACCAAGGTGGAATGTGGGAAATGGTTAGGACAGGAGCCTGGCACAGGTCTCGAATGCCGGGTTAAAGTGCTGGAACCAACTGGTTAGACGCTTGGCCTCTGAATTGTGGGACGAATGAACAGCTGAGCATAGTCCTGCAGAGGGAGGCACTGGGGGCAGGGGGTGGTCAGTGCTGGGCAGCTTGTGGTTGACCCCCCTCCCCCCGTGCACACATTCTCTTTCGCGCGCACACGCACACACACGCACACGCACACACACACACACACACACACACACACACACACACGGCAGCAACTCAGCCGACCCCAAGGCCCTCTCCTGAATGGATGGGAAGCTTCCCAAATAACAAGAATTGGGTAGGAATCTGAATAGAAGCGCAGCGGCCAAAAGCGCAGCTGGTTTTCTCCCCATCCGGTCACCTTCCGAAGGAGGAACGCACGGCCAGAAGACTCTGAACAAGAGTCTGTATTCTTGATCAGCCTGATAGTTTCCCCTACTTAATAACATCCCATCCCACCCTGTGTCTGGACGGGAGGTAATAAAGGACCCTGGTAACCCTTTGCCTTGACCTTGGTCAAGAACCCTCCAAGAAGCGGTCTGCCCCTCAGCTGGCTGAGGCTTATTCCAGATGTACACAGAAGCTGCTCTCACGAGGGGGGAGCTGGGGCCCGCTTTCTCTCTGGGGCAGAAGAAGGCTCCCCGTGCCATGGGGCACAGGCACACTGTCTAACCCTGCCTGCCCTGCCGGCCTTCTCAGCTCCTCCGGGTGGACGGCAAGCCCCTGATGCCAGGCCTCAGAGCCGTTTATTTCCCCAGTTTCCCTCTTCCTTTCCGGAGATTATGTAAGGTAACTCCTGGTGGCTTATAGAAATGGGAAGTTGGAAACAAAACACACCCACGTGCAGAGGGGAACTGAGGGGTCCTGAACCCGGAGAGCTGGGCACTTGTGCGTGGCCTCCCTGACGGCCCCCTGGGGGGCCTGGGCCCAAGGCCACCCAGACCACGAAGTAAAATGAATAAAAACATGGACGTACACACACTAATAAAAAGAGGCTCACATTCCTGCGTGTTGAGCGTGGCCCTCCTCTTCCTGTGTTCTCTTTCTCTGTCATCCCCCGTGTCCTCTTGCCAGCCATCCAGGGAGCCTCTGGCTTTCAGGGCTTTACCACTTACCACCCGGTCCCCACCCACCAACAGACGGGGGACCAGACACAGCTGGAAGGATGGCACAGATGCAGGCCTTTGCGTCATTAGGTGACGGGGCCACACAGCTCTTCCCCACCGAGAAGATCCCAGCTCAGGTGCTGCAAATATGTGGGCTGTGGAGCCAGGGCACCTGGTTTGAATCCCACACGCACTGCTAGGTTCACCTACCCGCTCTGAACTCCAGGTGACTCGTGTGAAACACAGGGAATGATGATAGTATTGCCATCAAGGTTGTAAGGATTAAAGGCAATAGTGCATATAAATGTTGGCATATAAGAGCCTGGTAATTCTTACTGAGCATTTATATTATGCTAAAATCTGTCTTAAGCTTTATAAAAGGGAGCTGGCTTGGAACTTCCTGGCGGTCCAGTGGTTAGGACTCCACGCTTTCACTGCCGAGCACCTGGGTTTGATCCCTGGTTGAGAACTAAGATCCCACAAGCCATGCACGGCACGGCCAGAAAAAAAAAGGGCGGGGAGCTGGCACCTAGGACTAGAGCACCACACACACATAGGTGACCTTGACCCTGGACCTTGTTGAGGGAAAAGCAGCCTCCCACCAGAGTGGGGGCCCACAGTTTAGGTTCCTTTCTGTTCCTACACCCGCCTTGCCCCCTCTTCCTAGACAACCCCCTCCCAAGTCCTGGCCTTGTGTTACTGATGGTGCACCTTCAAGTCTCCAGCTGGCTGTCTGTGGTTGTGAATGAATTATTCACCCTTTGCCCGGAGCTGCTGTTTCACGTCTAATTCATTCCAGCTCAGCTGTCTGGTCTCAGGCAGCTCTTCTTGTTTAACACCCAATTAATCAGCACACCAAGGAGACCCTCTCCTAATTGCAGGAAAGCTGTCATTATCTGAGTTAGGGGAATGTAAAAGAGGAATTACTCCAATGCAGTTGAATCCACTAATTGTTTTCTGGGTTCCCTTGAGACCAAGTAATGAAATGTAGCAATAAATCCTAGAGTCACACAGAGTACAGAATCCTTCAGCTAGCCTACCCCCACCCCCTGCCCCCTCCTAGCTGCAGCCCATCCTTTTTTCCCCTCCCCCAAGAAAAGCTGCCTGTAGCATTAACTATCTCACAGCTTCATTTCCTTTTTGGGCCATGTTGCAAACAGCAGGGGGTTACTGCTTAGGGGATATGCAACCATTCACAAGGTGTCCCTCACCTGGGCCTGCCCCTCCCTCAAGTTCAGTGTGGGCAGCTTCCTTACAAATGGGTGTCTAGACTACAAGCCCCTTGAGGGCAGAGATTGTGTCTGACCCACCTCTGTGCCTCCTGTACCTGGGATAAAGCCAACAGAGAGTGGTCTGTAAGTGAATTTTCTAACATTTCTAACAATTATAAACATTCACATTGTATCAGTCAGGATAGGTGAGGTTATGTTGCAGTAACAAACATCCCCCAAATCTTGGCAGTGTAACACAGCAAAGGTTCATTTCTCACTTGTGCCATCTGTCCACTGTGGGTGGGCAGGGGGTTCTGATCTTTATAGTCACTCAGAGATCCAGGCCAATGGAGCCTCCTTCAGTAGGAGACAGAGATTGTGGTGAGTTACACACTGGCTCTTGAAACGCTTTCACCTGGAAGTAACACATCACTTTCACTCATGTTTCATTGGCCAGAGCAAGGCACGTGGACATGTCTAACATCCATGAAGGGCCAGTGAATGTATTCCCACCATGTGCTCCAGCCAGAACACCTTACTTGGATTCTGGCCCCTGTAATTAATTCTCAGCTGAAGCCTCAGGTTCTTTATCTACAAACTAGGGACTTTTCTGTCTTCCTCCACCTTCCCTCACCGCTTGCAGGATAGACGTACACCTTGATGGAAAGCCACAGTGTGGCAGAGGATGCTTGGGTGAGAGCCCCAGCAATTGATGGTACCCAGGAGCCCAGGAGCTCGGCCAAGGGGCCCACACACAGACAGAAGCAGCAAAGATCCCCCAGCACGTTACCCACCGGAGGACCAGAGCTGGTTCCAGTCTGGCTGGGAGCAGGCTCCAGGCGGACAAAGCCCTGAGCTGTGTTGATGGTGATTGGCTCCAGACCGTGCCCAGGGCCCAGAGAATCAAGGGAGATGACCTGGTGAAAATGCCTTGAAAAGGTAGAGCTGCCCACAAATGGGAATGACTGTCATAGCGATAGTGTAGCAACGGATGCCGCTTACGAAGGCCCAGCTCTCTGGCTGGTTCTTGCTCACGGATTTATGTACATTCTTGTCAACCCTCACAACAACCCCGTAAGATAAGTAATCCTGCCCCGTTTTTCAGATGAGAACTGTGAGATTTAGAGAAAGGTGGAGCAGCTTGCCCTAGAGCTAAGATTCTGACACCTTTCCCTGGCTCCAGAGCTCCTATTCACATTGTTGTTTTGAGCCCTTCTGGCTGGATGTCTTCACTCAAAGCAGTGTCTCAGATCAGACCTTCCCAGCGGAGAGCTAGTCACAATCAGATTCACTCCATTAACGCACGTTCATAAAGCACCTACTGCGTGCCAGGCAACATGCTGCGCTTTGGGGAGATGACAACAAACTAGCCGGTGCAGCCCCCGTCCTCTTGGAGCTGACAGTCCAGTCTGTTAAATAATCTGCCCTCCCTGAGACATGAGTTGGGGTCTTGCAGAATGGCTGTGGGGGTGGGCAGTGATGGATGTCAGTCATCTGAAAAGCACTTGGCATGTAGTAGGTGCTCAGTAAAGGGAGCCTTACTGTACTTGCATACCAAGTTCTAGGGTAGCCGACTGGTTGGGGCTGACACCCTTAATGTGAACCTCCTGCCCTTGGGTGGAGACATCTGTCTCTACCACTTAAAGCCCGTAAGTACTTGGCTTACGAAATAGAGTCACAAGAAGCCAGCCCCCCCAGGACACAGTCAGCTGCTCAGCAAGGCTTCCAGACCTGCTGTGCCCCTCCCACAGCCCAGGTAGGTGGTTTGGGTTTGCAGGGGTACCTCGGGGGCTGGACGCATCTGCCAAGCTTCCTCCATCAGTTAATCGGATTCTCAGAGCAGTCTTGCCACATACTCAGACGTGGGTGGTGGGAAGGACTGACTCCCAGTGGGAATCCCTTGCCTTCTGGATGAGTATTTGAATGCTTCGTGTGGCTGAGGAATCTTCTCCGTGCAGAAATAGACCCAGGTTCAACGGGAGTTTCCTGAGACCCCGCCTACCTGCTTCCACGATTGGTTCATTCTAGTCATCGTCATCATCTCAACAGCTGACGATTATTGGGCACTTACTATGTACCAGGCACAGCTAAGCACTTTGCATGCCTTATTTTATTTAGTCCTCCCAATAATCCTGTGAGGTGTTAATTAGCCCCATTTTACAGATGAGGAAACTGAGGCTTGCTTACAGAGGGGAAGTAATTAGCTCATGCTTACAGGATTAATAATGATGAAACTGGAATTTGAGTCCACAATGGCTGAGCCATGCCTCTTTCATGACATGTTCTCTAATTCTTACGGTAACCCAAGGTCAGGATAATTATCTCCATTTTACAGCTAAGGCTCAGTGCGAAGCAAAGCAATGTGCCCAAGTGGGTCCATTTGGTTTTTTTGGTTGCAGGTCCTGAGAGTTCCATCAACTGCCCTTCCTTCAGCCACACCCAGAGCTCTTCTCTCCCCAAGAATGAAAAAAGGGGGTTCAGGGTGACTCCTGTCTGCTAAGGTCCAGGCATCCCTTGCCTTTACACATGTTCTCGTGCCCTTACACTTGTTCTCGCTATCCAGAACGCTCTCCCCTCCCCTGACCCCAGGCATGGAGCCAGTTCAGACACATCCTTCAAAATGTGGCTCACAAGTTCCCTCCTCCATACTCCGTGTGGAAGGAAGACTCAGACTCGGGAGCATTTAGGAAAGAAAAGTAGTTTTTGCAAAAAGGTGTAAACTAATTAGACTTTGGAAGGTCTGGTTTGCCAAATTACACACACGCACGCACACACGCACGCACACACGCACACAGCAGGTTCTTAAAGGAAAACACACCTCACAATCACCAGGGTTGCCAAGTTTTCATCAGTTTGTTCTTGGTGGAAAAGCAGGCATTTCTCCTAACGTTATTCTTTCTCATGAAGCCACAGGGACACCCAGAATCTTGAGACATCAGCGTTCCAAACACTGGGGACAGGATTCTCATTGGGGAGTCAGCAACTTATGCGAAATGCTCCTTCATTTGGGAACTCGCACCGGACAAGGTGCCCCTGTTATTCTTGCTTTATCTCAGAGGGTCAAGTGTGGGTTTGGTTTTGGTGTCGGTCGCCACAGATGGGATGCCTGTGCTGATGCCTGACGGTGACGGTTTCGTTAACTCTGATCCTCACAACATCCTCGTGGGGCAGGCATTTGATTCATCACATTTTACAGAGAGTCTCAGACAAGGACACTGAGACTCAGAGAGTCTAAGGGATTTGCCCAAAGTCTGAGCTGGGAGGTGGCAGAGCTGGAAGGTGGCAGAGCTGGGATTTGCGCCCAGCGCCCGGCCCCTAAATCTGGGTCATTCTTCTTCGTGCAGCCACCTCCCCGCGCCCTCCCTCACCCTTACTCAGCTGTCTGTCTCCGCACTCACTCACACCTCTGGGTCAGGCATTGTCTGTTGTACTCACCTCTGTATCACCAGCTCCTGGCCTAGGCTTGACACAAACAAGGAACCCAGTACCTGTCAGTAGTTGATGCATTAACGAGGGATGTGAAACCCATGAAGTTTGCCGTGAGCGCTGCCTGCAGAGAACGGTGCTGAGGCCTTTGGGTGATGAAGGGCTCAAGCTGCCTCATCACAGTGGACCCCACCAACTCCGAGACCCCGGCCAGCTGATCGGTGTGTCGCCCAAGCCTCCTAGTGACCCAGGGCCGCTCCACTCTCCAACTTCCCGGCAGGCATAATCAGCCAGCATGTTCACGGCCCGTGTAGGACTCCTGCCCACCCAGAACCAAGACAAAACGTGCACCTGCCAAACGTGATACTTTGGGGCAGGAAATGAACATAGCCAGAATTCCCAGAGAGGAACAGTCCACTTCCGACAATGGTCCATCTGCCCGCCGACAGGATGAATTTGCTTTGGGAGTGACTGATCCTCTGACCAAGAGTATTTTTGGCCCCAGCAGGTGGCAAGAGTGGTGGGCAGTGCCTGATGCCAAGAACAGCCACAGTCCCAGTACTCACCAAGAGACTCTGGGCCCCAGATCAGTGGATTGTTCACCTTCCTATGTATTTACTTTCAAAGTTCTCAAAAATTGAGTAGTTGGAAAGAGAGCTCCATTCAGACTGACTAGTGGTAGCTGAGCCAGGAAATGGCCACGTGAACCGAGAAGTCAGTTCAGCTTCAGCTATCTATGCATCGATTCTCCCCCTCATCCCCAAAAGATGTGAAGGGAATTAATAGGCGACATTACATGTTGTCTCTGGCTGGTGGCCCTGTCCATGCAGTTGGCGAGACATCATGAGACAAGCCAGCTCGCCTGTGCCTGTTCTCACTCATCCGGTGAAAGCCTGCGGGGCCTGCTGCTGCACTCTGGGCACCGGAGCCCATTCATTACATCGGTCCCGGTTTCCCCGTCCCTGCTCCATCTGTAAGCTGACTCCATTCGATTACTTCTCCTTGTGTCTTCAGGATGCAAGGGACTGTGACCTGAGTTCAGATCCAGCCCCTGCTAGCTACTGTCTAGGTGCCCTTAGGCAAATCACTTCACCTCTGAGCTTCAGGTTGATGAGTCAAGTGGGACCCTGAGGCCTTTGGGGCTTGCTCTGGACTTAATAACTACTGTTTATTGAACATACTATGTACCAGGCACTCTGCTAAGTGCTTTGCATATTTTCCGTTCTTTAATGTACAAACACCCCTAAGATGCAGGTATGGATATTCCTTTTGCTAATGAAGAGGTTGAGTGCAGGGACTATGTCCGTTTCCTTCGCCCCTGCCGTCCCCAGCACCGGGTATGGGATTTGGCACAGAGAAGAGGTATAAAAATGTACGTATGTAGGGCCTGGGACCCAACTTGAGCCAGTCTGATGGCACAGCTGGCCTTGCGGTATGGTAGATGTGACCACACAGTGTTTGACGTGTGGCCAACCCTCAGTAAATTAGAGTCCCTTTCTCCCGCTCTCCATCAGTTTATCCAGATGGATTTTCCAGGGCTGTGGCTCTCACTGCCTCTGAGCTCACTAAAAGACAGTAACATCTTCAGTCTGGCAGCTCCTGGGAGGGAAGGGAGCAAAATGTGGGATTCATTTGCTGCTTTTTTTTTTTTTTTTTGGCTGCTCTGTGGGGTTTGCGGGATACTAGCTCCCCGACCAGGGATCAAACCCGGGCCCCTGGCAGTGAGAGTGCCAAGTTCTAACCGCTGGACTGCCAGGGAACTCCCTCATTTGCTGCTTTAATCTAAACTAACGGGGTCTTTCCGACAGGCCTGTAGCTGCAGACCATGCCAACCCCCTTTGAAAGGCATCTGCATCCTCTTGGTGATGCAGATATCCTTGACCTTAGCAGTCACACCTGCTGAAATGCATTTGCTCACACATGGAACCTGGGTCGTCTCAGCTGTGTAAAGGCGAGGATTCAGGAGCTTGCTCCGGCCTCTCGGGGGCCCGGCCTCGCTGCTCCACCATAAACCCTCAGGGCTCAGCCATCGGTTGACCCATGTCACCCTCCTCCCGCAGGTTGGCCGTCGACCCCCGTGCCTACTAGATAAATCCACTCAGCTTCCAGGGGCCCCAGGTCTGAGCTGGAAGAGCCTCCAGAAATGGCTTTGTTTAACATCTTCATCTTACAGGCAAGGAAAAGGAGACCGGGAAAACACATGGTCTAAAGGCAGTGATGACCGGTGTTTGTGTTGGGAGTTTGATGTTGTTATGATAGAGGAACCCAGACATGCCCAGATCCTAGCCCTGGAAAAGATCCTGTCTCCCCACAGGATTCCCAAGAGTGATGAGCATGTAGACTCTAGCTAAATGTGGCCAGGGTACCTACCACAGACCACCACCTAGGCTGGCACCAGAAACCCCTGGGGAAGAACTTGGCTGAAGCTGTGCTGGGTCACACCGCAGGCTCAGCCCCCAAAAGCTCCACACCTGATCCAGGGACCTACCTCATCCTGGCCGGCGGCAGCATGGAGGAAGGGAGTCAAAGGAGAGAGGGGGACAAAGTGGGCACCATCCCCAGCAAACGGGATGGAGACGGGGCCACAGAGAGAATATGTGGGCCTGGTCCTCCTCGAGGGACTCAGCTTGGAGAGGCAGCAGAGCTGCAGTCTGACTTCCCGATGTACAGTGACCTGCCCACAAGTATATCAGTGTCCTTGCACTTGACCAGTCAGACCAGCACCCCCTCTTCCCTGGGGGGCAGTAGTGGGAGGCCTGGGAAGAAGGTGGGCAAAGATGTGCTGGTATAAAAGGAGGAGGGGTTGTGAATTTCACTGCTCCTGCAGCTGAGACCAGACAGAGCCCAGGTCCTTCCCTCCAAGGCCAGAGCCTGTGCTCTCCGTCCAGCCATCTCAGGACCATCAGCATGCTCTGGACCTGTTGTGCAGAAGCTCCCCTGGGCTTCTTTATTCCAAGACCTGTCTGCCTAGCCTGCCTTTCCTACCACCTGTCTAGCCATCTATAGACACACTTCTTACTCCTAACTCAAATGTATACGGGGCGTGAGGAGTGGGTTAACCCCTCATTAGGAAAGTCATAGAAAAGTCTGCTAATAATTACCCAGAAAGCCACAATTCCCCACACCACGGGTGTCAAAAAGGCCTGGTTCAAATCTCAGTTCCACCATTTATGAGCTCTATGACCCTGTGCAAATTATATAAGTTCATCAAGCCTCCCTCACAGTAAAAATAGATCTAATGACACCCACCCATCAAGATACTTAGCGGCTTCCTTGGTGGCACAGTGGTTGGCAATCTGCCTGCTAATGCAGGGGACACGGGTTCGAGCCCTGGTCTGGGAGGATCCCACATGCCGCGGAGCAACTAGGCCCGTGAGCCACAACTACTGAGCCTGCGCGTCTGGAGCCTGCGCTCCGCAATAAGAGAGGCCGCAATAGTGAGAGGCCCGCGCACCGCGATGAAGAGCGGTACTGTAAGGACAGACAAAATAGCACGTGTAAGGCACCTAACACAGGGCCTGGCTCACGGTAAATGCTTGGTAATTGGCTAAGATGGTTGCACAGCAGGTGGTTTGCAGTCTTGAAAGCATTAGAACACTGTAAAGGGCACTTAGCACTCAGTGTAATCACAGTTTGATGATCCAGAGACACTTCAAGAACATCACATTGGGGTCAGTCACTAGGATGGGCCTCGGTTCATCCTTTTATCCCACGGACATCAGAAGTTATGGAGTCTTAGACTCAGGGTTCCAGCGGACATTTGGAATCATCTGATTCAGACCCCTACACGTACAGGATCCCCTTAACATCGTCCATCAGAGGTCTCTACTAGTGCCTGCTTACTTGCTTCCAGTGACAGGAAGCTTAGACTCTGCCCAGGGTAGTTAGGAACTTAAGAACAGATTGATTTAACCTGAGAGTCAGTGGCTTGTGGGCTGTGCACCATCAGGCCCTGCTCAGAGAGTCTGTTAAGGTGGCTCGTGTTCAGCTATTTCCAGGGAGGCCTCTGGCACCGCAACAGAGCCCCGAGTTCTTCAGTGCCTGCGCGGCCAGCATGTCCTCAGATCTGCTGTTGGCTTTTCAGAAACATGTTTTTATCCATTTTGAACTCAGAGCTGACCAGAGTCCCATTAAGTTCACAAAGACAGTGTTGAGAACTGAATGCTGATTCATTTCAGTCCACCATAATTGTCACTTTCAAGCAGATGGAGCAGATGTCTGTGTTCACTGTCCGAGCTCCTGGGGAAACAGATTATCTGCCAAAGCTTCTCTCCACAGGGAGAGGAAGGGAATTCTTTTCCTGGCCATGGTGAGCCCTGATGACCCATAAACAGGTCCCTTGCATGAGTCCCAATTGACAGTAACTGAAGAATCCAGACCCTCTGCAGTGAAGGAGCATCCCTCTGGGGCTTTGAGGATTCCAGGAGGCGAAGAAATCATAAGTCTCCTTAATTTACATATTACTGAAGCATCTCAGTTCACAGCATTCTGTAATGGAAACTGTTGGGGTTTGTTTCCTTGTATCTAAGATATCCGTGACCATCGAGCCTGCTTAGCCAATATCACCAAAACGGTTGTCTTTTAGAAAATTGCCAGGCCTGTTTTGCAGGACAGAAGATTAGAACATTCCTGCCTGTGGGTGGTATGTTCCCTATACTTTGTGTTTTAATGACAGGGTCTGAGTTTGGGGGCCTCCATCCCTGCCACCCCAGCACAGATGTCCCTGTGTGAAATCTGACCTTTCAGGTCTCTACTATGTTCCCCTTTATTCTTTGTGTCTTCCATCTTTGGTTCACTCATTTACTCAGACATCCATTTATTTATTTATGCAAAGCGCATCTCCTGGATTTGCAGAACTTCTCAGGAAATACGGATAAATATAAAACATCAGGACCAAAAAAACACAGATGTGAACAGGAGGCATGAGCCAGTTGGGAAGCCCAAATACAGCAGAGTGGACCCTGCAGCCAGGCCTGGACTTGAATCCCAGCTCCGCCACTTACTAGCTGAGCACATGTACCCAGTCACTGTGCCTCAGTCTCCTTGCCTGTGAAATGGGTCTAGTAATACCTTCTTCAGAGCTTGATTGAAAAGATTAAGTGGGATAATATATGTAATGCATTTAGCAGAATGGCTGGCAAGTAGTAGGCATTCAGTAACCACATCTTTGTCCCTGGTACTGTCATTGCATATTCTGTTGTTATTACCCAGTTGCTATAACTGAGCTGTGACTTTAGCTACTCATTTCCTAGCAATCAAAGCAAAAGCAGAAAGCACTGACTGCATGTTTCTCACTTCTGTGAGGGGATGTGGAGATGCCAGCTCCAGGGGTAACAAGACCTTCCATTTCAACCTGACTCACTCTGTCTGAGTGTTGCACCCTCTCCTTTTAGGAGCTAAGTGCCCAGGTTCAGGCTTAATTAGCCTGAAACAGCTCTGCCTTTGGCTAGCTAGAAAGGTTACAAACCCGGAACCATGAGGATGACGCCATGGCTGGGAATGACCTTTCCAAGGTGCTGCCTAATTGTCAGGAGGGTGGTAGCAGGGGCGTCTGCAGAAACTCAGACAGGAGATAATGATGTCTTCAGCTTTGAGCACCTGGGTACTTGGAAGAATGTTAAATAGGCAACAAGTCCCAAGTTGGAGTCTTATTTGGGGGATTTTACATTTTGTAATTTAGCAATTGCTGGAGATTGAGGCTTCAGGGGACTGTTGCCGAACCTGGCTCACAGCTTAGAGAGCAAGGTTTTTATTCTTCCTGCCACATTTCTCTGCAGAAGTTTGATGGAGAACAGCTGCTCATCTTCAAAATGAGAAGCCATCGTTCCAAGATGGGGAGGGGGGAAGGGAGCTGATGTTTATTGAACACCTACTGTGTGCCAGGTAGGAACAGAATCCACCTTGATCTTCTTCCCAGTCACCTTGAGAGGTGTGAGCAATACTACACCTGGATGCAGGTGTTCCATTTTCCATTTTTACGAATGAGGAATCAGATGCCCAGGGAGGTTTTGTGACTTGTCCAAAGGCACACAGCCAGTAATGAGCAAATCTGGGATTCTAACCCAGATGCGTCTGACTCTAAACCACTTCCTATTGACCCTTCTTTTCTGCTGCCTCTTATGATAAGCTTGCTACCCTCAAATTGCCTGTAATCTAGGTAAGAGAATGGAATCCAGCCTTAAAAAAAGGTAGATTAACAGTACCACATGCTTCACTGCAAGGGCCTAGACATTGAGCAGTTCAGAAGAGGGAGCCTTCTCCTTCCAGGTGGCAGGGAAGGCTTCAGGGAGGAGGTGGCAGGCCTTGAGGAACAGGTAAGCCTTGAGAGGCTGTGAGGGAGACAGGGGGCCTTAGAGCCAGAGTCTGGCAACAGCAAAGATCCAGAGAGAGGAAGTGAATGGTCTGGGGAGGGCAGGTGACCTGAGCCAAGATTGCTGCTGGGAAGTTGGGAGAAGTAAGCTGGGAGAGATGAACAGGGTCCAGGATTCCAGGGCTCGACTGTTGAGCGGACGCAGGCTCTGACTTGAGTCTTTCATGTCAGCACTTTCTCCTAATGTATTTATCCATCAATCAGCAGACATCTTCTGAGGGCCTGCCAAGTGCCAGGACCTGTGCAGGGCACAGAGGGGTCAGAGATCAG